TCATAACAGTACGAATGTCGTCAAACATGTTGCCACTGCTCATAACAGTACGAATGTCGTCAAACATGTTGCCACTGCTCATAACAGTACGAATGTCGTCAAACATGTTGCCACTGCTCATAACAGTACGAATGTCGTCAAACATGTTGCCACTGCTCATAACAGTTCGAATGTCGTCAAACATGTTGTCACTGCTCATAACAGTGCGAATCTCATCAAACATGTTGCCACTCCTCATAACAGTACGAATGTCGTCAAACATGTTGCCACTGCTCATAACAGTGCGAATCTCATCAAACATGTTGTAACTGCTCATAACAGTGCGAATGTCGTCAAACATGTTGCCACTGCTCATAACAGTGCGAATCTCATCAAACATGTTGCCACTGCTCATAACAGTACGAATGTCGTCAAACATGTTACCACTGCTCATAACAGAGCGAATGTCGTCAAACATGTTGCCACTGCTCATAACAGTACGAATGTCGTCAAACATGTTGCCACTGCTCATAACAGTACGAATGTCGTCAAACATGTTGCCACTGCTCATAACAGTACGACTGTCATCAAACATGTTGCCACTGCTCATAACAGTACGAATGTCGTCAAACATGTTGCCACTGCTCATAACAGTACGAATGTCGTCAAACATGTTGCCACTGCTCATAACAGTGCGAATGTCGTCAAACATGTTGCCACTGCTCATAACAGTGCGAATGTCGTCAAACATGTTGCCACTGCTCATAACAGTGCGAAAGTCTCTCAAAATCTCCCTATAAAGATTAACGTCTCGGAGAATGTTTACGACGTATGTTGTTTCTTGTTACTTTTTTTCTCTTCTCTCCTCTTTCCTAACATTTGTTTTGTCGTAACTATGGAGATGTCTAAAATGTCCATCAATTCCCCTGGACAAGAGCATCTATGAGGCCCCTCCCCTGGTAGAGATGGGTCCAAGAGGCCGAAAACAGAAATTTATAAATAGAGATTTAAAAGAACACTTTTTACTGTCATGGAGAATCACTCCAGGTCGCCCTAATATCATCGACTCTAGAGGCCAAATGGGATTTTTTCCGGCGTTGCGGTGCCCCATAAGTAGAATGCTAGAATACTTTACCTTTTGTCTTTACTAATGTGTTCTAGATCAATCAAAGAATATTAAGATGAAGAAGAAGACCTCACCGTGGGATACCCTCACTAAGTCAGCCACCAAATGGAAAAGAGGAATTTTTTTTAAAAATTAGATCAACTCATGTTTCATGATAGATATAAATACAAGAGCAGGTTGCAATAAGAAAAAAATGTGACACTGTAAATAGAGCACCGGTGTAAGTTCCGCCTGAGCAGGTTGCCACCAGAGTAGGATACCCCATAAGCAGGTTTGCCACCAGAGTAGGGTACATCCTGAGCAGGTTGCCACCAGAGTAGGGTACAGCCTGAGCAGGTTGCCAACAGAGTAGCGTACCGCCAGAACAGGTTGCCACCAGAATGGCTGTTACAAAAGCAGGAAGCTTGGGGGGGGGGGGGGGGGGGGGCGGAGTTTACTGCTCCTTCTAAAACTAACCCTAGCGATGAAACTGAGCATAAGTTAAAATACGCGATTGGGCCAAAATAACGTATTTCACGCAGGGCGTGTTGTTATGCTAGCTGCCGAGACATTAGTAACCACGACATGTTCGATGCTTTTCTTTAATTACGCTGTCAAGATGTAGTGCTGCCTGAAGTAAATTCTTTCTTAAAAAACGAACGCACTTTCAATATGATTTAATTTTAATTCAAAAAATGTCCCTAACTACCCATAGTATTTTTTTTATACCAATTCAGGATTAATTACCCATGTTCGCCTAAACTTGATTTAAACATATTTTTGCATTATACGCTAAATAACGGGTGATTTTTGTACTTGCAAAAAGCAATGTTCATACAATTTACTTTTTAAAGCGTATAATTTAAATATTTTGGTTTAAATTCTTAGATACACTTTATTGTCAAGAAAATAAATGTTTAAAAAAAATTGTATTGTAAATACCTTACTTACTGGCCTCCTTAAATGTTGTACAAAAGAATTTTTTTTTTTTTTCACATTTTTATTTTTATTATACAATCTCATATCCGGACGTTGAGAATCTGAACATTCCAGATTTATTGACTGTAAAATGAAAAACAAATTGAAGATAAATTCATTTTAGGTCACATTATTGCATATTCCGGAGAATCTTTCCATCTTTTCATTTATACTAGAAGATAAGTTTTGGTGTATCTGCAAACAAAATGTATTTAAATAATATATACATTAGTCCATGAAAAGTTTATTCATCATTAAATTGATATGCTTAACCATACATATGCTATCACTGTTTAGTCATCTACCAGCGATCTAGCTTTATTCATTTAGTTGTTTTTTGTTGTTTTTTTTCGGGGCTTGTGAAAAATAAATTCTGCGCTCTCGATAAATATGTGTGCGTAAGGATGTGTAGTATTCGGCTTGGTTTTTTTGCATGTAAGGGTGACGCCTATGCGATTAGGCGTACTATATATGCTTCAATAACTGAAACCGGGATCTTTATCAGCAGTGGCGTACCTAAGGGGTTGACCTATTCCGATGCCACTTTATTCATTAGAATAAGGGGGAAACAAGTTGACGATGTGTTGATGCTTTTCTTTTTTTGTTCCTTCTTTTTTTCCCTTCAAAATCCTTGTGTACGGTTCAAACCGTCCTAGACGCTATGAACGCTAACAGCCCGGACCAAACTAACGGACACACAATAGGTGATGAAAATAGCGATTCGCCTTCTTAACGTTCGATTTAGCCACACGAAATGGGGGGGGGGGGGGTAGGTTTAATTTCCGGGTGGGGGGGGGGGGGGGGTAGATTTAACTTCCGGTGCATTTGGACAACAACAACAACAAAAAACACAAATTGTTTTTTCTTGAAACATTCTTTTGTTTTGTGTGTAAAAGTCTCACCTTTCGAATTCCTCTCTCGAAACTCTTCTGTCGCCGTTGGTGTCGAATTGCTTCATAACGTATCTGGCTTCTACCAGGTCAATGACCGAATCCGTGTTTCTGTTGATCACGCTGAAAAATTTAGGTGCCAGGTTTCCAAATTGAGCGTCACAGTGCTCGAGTCTTTTCCCAAAGGTGCCCAAGGTCGCATTAGTTTTAGGATTTGGTCCCTGCGGCGTTAAGTGAAGAAGAAATAAATGGCGTACGCAGTGGCGTAGCTAGAGCTGGTGTGTCACCCGGTGTAGTCACACATGGTGTCACCCCCCCTTTCCCCCCACACCCCCTACCCCCGACTTCCGAGATGGATTTCTTCGTGTTAAAATAAGTCCACAGTATAACAATAACAAGGACAAAAACAAACTAATTGAAGGTCCGGAGGTCAACTTCTTCACGAAGATTAACAACGTTAAGTTATAGTTGTTTTGACATTCAATTAATTTTATTTAAAATATTTCTTTCCTGCTCTTCAAAGCTGCAAACCTGTCAATCACTTGATCAAAATCAATATCAGCTAACGAAACACTCGGATTGGTTAATGTGTGTAAAATTTACGTGTGATCGGTTATCCTTTTATAAAATTCGGTTAGACCGAGCAGTGTGCTCTGTAAATATGCAATTTTTTTTTTTAATTTGGTGCCACACCATGAGAGGGTTCTCCCGATGCGGTCCGCACCCCACTAGCTACGTCACTAGGCCCACGTATTATGTAAGTTAGGAATGGTTAGTGTAGATCTTTTGGGCCATGGAATAAGGTTATTTTTTATTTTATTTTTTGTGTGGCTGATTTCGGACGCAAATCACGGTCTACCTTTTTATGAATGAACCAGGTCACGTGCCGGAAGAGGCACAGATGTACAAAACGTGTGTACGGCACTTGGGAGTTTTTAGTCAAGGTTAGCGGGGTGACTTATTTGGCAGGAGGTTATTGTCCCGGGTCAGTGGATTGGCTGGGTGGGTCCATTGGGAGGAGGTTATTGTCCCGGGTCAGTGGATTGGCTGGGTGGCTCCATTGGGAGGAGGCTGTTGTCTCGGGTCGGCAACCTGCGGCTCAAGAGCACAATGCGATTCTCTTAAAGAAATCCTACAGCTTTTATTTTCACTTATCGATCATGACTTGACCACCCCTAAACTGTTTGCATAAGGCGATATCATTGATGAGAACCACTCCACGCTCTAAAACGTTCTTGACCTTTTGTCTACGTTGATCTAATCGTTCCACAATTCACTATCCGTGCGAGATGTCTTTTTAATAAAAAAATATTTAATTTGTTTTCTTTTTAGTTTTTTCAGTATATTATTCGGAGATAAGTAGTATAAAATATTTGCACGTCACCTTTAACCAAATTCTCTACTTAGTAGACTACTAGCAGGAATTTTCAAGAAGAAAAAAATTTAAAAAGGAAATTGTTAAAAGAATATTTTCCAAACACCATTTTAGATAGATCACTGAAAGAATTTAAAAAAAAAAAACAACTAAGCCAGCGTATGGCTCCAAAATAAATAAGTAACAAAACAACTTAGCCATTGCATGGCTAAGAAAATAGTAATAAGCCAACGAATCGCCACCAAAAAAAACAAAAAAAAAACAACTTAGCCACAGTCTGGCTCCAAAAAACAAAAACTAAGCAAACGTATGGCTTAAAAAAATGCCAAAGTATGGCACCAAAAAAGCAAAAAGACTCAACTTAGCCAAGGCATAGCACCAAAAAACTCCAAAAGACCCAACCAAGTAAAGGTATGGCACCAAAAGACCCAACTAAGTGAAGGTATGGCACCAAAAGACCCAACTAAGTCAAGTTATGGCACCAACCAAATACCCCAAAAAGACCCAACTGAGCCAAGGTATGCCACCAAAACCCCAAAAGATCCAACTAATTCAAGGTATGGCACCAAAAACTCCAAAAAGACACAACTAAGCCAAGTTATGTCACCAAAACCCCCAAAAGACCCACATAAGTCATGGTATGGCACCAAAGACTCCAAAAAGACTCAACTAAGCCAAGTTATGGCACCAAAAACCCCAAAATACCCAAATAAGTCAAGGTATGGCACCAAAAACTCCACACAAAAAACACAACTAAGCCAAGTTATGGCACCAAAAACCCCAAAAGACTCACATAAGTCAAGGTATGGCACCAAAAACTCCAAAAAGACTCAACTAAGCCAAGTTATGGTACCAAAAACCCCAAAAGACACACATAAGTCAAGGTATGGCACCAAAAACTCCACACAAAAAACACAACTAAGCCAAGTTATGGCACCAAAAACCCCAAAAGACCTACTAGGATTAGGTTGAAGAATTCTCTCATGTCCAGAAGCCGATTGCGATCCTCGTCATACCATTTGAAGCAGGTGTGAATCCCCTGGAGGAGAAAGTCAGGTATAACCTTAACACTCTGATGAGTCAAGCCAAACATGGCGACCAAGAGGACGTAGGTGTATTCCATGCCTGCCTGTTCAAGAGCAGAATAAAAGAAGACATCCGTGGTTAATTTCTTGAAAAAGTAATGATAAATCTTTAAGGCGATTGTTGGAATGTGGAAGAGCTTAGCCCAGATGGATATCATGCCAACCCTCTTATTCCCCAAGCGATTGTTGGAATGTGGAAGAGCTTAGCCCAGATGGATATCATGCCAACCCTCTTATTCCCCAAGCGATTGTTGGAATGTGGAAGAGCTTAGCCCAGATGGATATCATGCCAACCCTCTTATTCCCCAAGCGATTGTTGGAATGTGGAAGAGCTTAGCCCAGATGGATATCATGCCAACCCTCTTATTCCCCAAGCGATTGTTGGAATGTGGAAGAGCTTAGCCCAGATGGATATCAGGCCAACCCTCTTATTCCCCAAGCGATTGTTGGAATGTGGAAGAGCTTAGCCCAGATGGATATCATGCCAACCCTCTTATTCCCCAAGCGGTTGTTGGAATGTGGAAGAGCTTAGCCCAGATGGATATCAGGCCAACCCTCTTATTCCCCAAGCTGTTCCCTACGCACAAGCTTCATTTGAGCACCCGACAACTTTTATTAACACCCCCCCCCCAATTCTTATCCCATTTTAGCGAACAGTCTAAAAAGAAAAAGCGGAGGTCTCTTTTTTGTCAGTAAGATTGAAATTGAATTTGTCGACCAGTCTAAGTCCTTGGGATTCAACGTTTTACAGTTATGTATAGCTGGGGTGACGAAGTCAGAGCTGACCCTAGGAATCAAAATTTCTGACTATCGGGGTGATAGATGCCGTGACCCCCACCCGAAGGCTTGAAATACTATATATATACCCCACACCCCCACAACCCCCCCCCACGGACAAATTACCTGATCGAAACTGGTCAAAACGCATAGGCCAACCTGGGCCATAACGCGTGTCTTAACGTTACTTGTAAAGTGGACTTTAGAAGGCCGTTCCCAGGAAGGGCGGCGCCTTTTTGGGGGGGGGGGCAGTTATGAGATGTATTGTTACATGAGACCAAGTAACATAGGTACGTGGTGTATTGTTACATGAGACCAAGTAACACAGGTACGTGGTGTATTGTTACATGAAACCAAGTAACACAGGAACGTGGTGTATTGTTACATGAGACCAAGTAACACAGGTACGTGGTGTATTGTTACATGAAACCAAGTAACACAGGAACGTGGTGTATTGTTACATGAGACCAAGTAACACAGGTATGTGGTGTATTGTTACATGAGACAAAGTAACACAGGTATGTGGTGTATTGTTACATGAGACCAAGTAACACAGGAATGTGGTGTATTGTTACATGAGACCAAGTAACACAGTTACGTGGTGTATTGTTACATGAGACCAAGTAACACAGGTATGTGGTGTATTGTTACATGAGACCAAGTAACACAGGTATGTGGTGTATTGTTACATGAGACCAAGTAACACAGGTATGTGGTGTATTGTTACATGAGATCAAGTAACCCAGGTACGTGGTGTATTGTTACATGAGACCAAGTAACACAGGTACATGGTGTATTGTAACATGAGACCAAGTAACACAGTACGTGGTGTATTGTTACATGAGACCAAGTAACACAGGAACGTGGTGTATTGTTACATGAGACCAAGTAACACAGGTACGTGGTGTATTGTTACATGAGAATAAGTAACACAGGTATGTGGTGTATTGTTACATGAGACCAAGTAACACAGGAACGTGGGGTATTGTTACATGAGACCAAGTAACACAGGTACGTGGTGTATTGTTACATGAAACCAAGTAACACAGGAACGTGGTGTATTGTTACATGAGACCAAGTAACACAGGTATGTAGTGTATTGTTACATGAGACAAAGTAACACAGGTATGTGGTGTATTGTTACATGAGACCAAGTAACACAGGAATGTGGTGTATTGTTACATGAGACCAAGTAACACAGTTACGTGGTGTATTGTTACATGAGACCAAGTAACACAGGTATGTGGTGTATTGTTACATGAGACAAAGTAACACAGGTATGTGGTGTATTGTTACATGAGACAAAGTAACACAGGTACGTGGTGTATTGTTACATGAGACCAAGTAACACAGGAACGTGGTGTATTGTTACATGAGACCAAGTAACACAGGTACGTGGTGTATTGTTACATGACACCAAATAACATAGGTACGCGATGTATTGTTACTTAGTACAAGTAACACAGATATGTGGTGTATTGTGACATGAGACCAAGTAACACAGGTACGTGGTGTATTGTTACATGGCACCAAGTATCACAGGTATGTGGTGTTTGTTACATGACACCAAGTAACACAGGTATGTGGTGTATTGTTACGTGGCACCAAGTATACCAGGTATGTGGTGTATTGTGACATGAGACCAAGTAACACAGGTATGTGGTGTATTGTTACATGGCACCAAGTATCACAGGTATGTGGTGTATTGTGACATGAGACCAAGTAACACAGGTACGTGGTGTATTGTGACATGACACCAAGTATCACAGGTATGTGGTGTTTGTTACATGACACCAAGTAACACAGGTATGTGGTGTTTGTTACATGACACCAAGTAACACAGGTACGTGGTTTATTGTTACGTGGCACCTAGTAACACAATTTGCCGGTGTACTGTTTTCAATTGGTGACGTCTTGAAAGTCTTTCTATAACTGAGAATCAAAGCAGGTGTTCTCCAGAAGGTATTTGACTGGCCCCTACAATGTATATGCCTAACTACCTTTGAAACTGGGCATCATGAATGCGTCTGCTAGCCGATTGTTTCCAGCCATATTTGCATTTTTGTACTTGATACAGGTTGGACAACGCTTGACAGAGCCGGACATGCATGCCAAAATGATGTATTTAGCAGAATATTTTTAGCCATTGTGTTCGATGATCAGTTTTATTTAGTTTTTTTTTGTTGTTTTTTTTAAATTGGTAGTGTGATTCTTCGAATAAAGTCACATTAACTTATGGGTTGATCAGACGACCCCTTGCGTTGGCAGAGGATCTTTCTAGAACGGCAAAAATTTTGACAAAATATCCATTTTATTTTGTTCCGCGAAATTTTTCCGCCATTTCATAAAAATGGACCCTAACTCCCTTTTTTTCACGACAACTTTTATACGAGCAAAAATGAGGAGTCTCATTGCGAAACCTGCTAAATAACTTTTTTGAAAAAAAAATCAAGTTGACTATTTTGGCTGGTTCGTTAAGTGTCAATCTACAGCATTTTATAAATTTAATGAATCAAAAGCTTCATTTATTCTAAAAATGTCACCATACAAAAATGTAAATGCTATATTTGCTAAATAAATTTAATGTACAAAAATCCCAACCTTTTCTTAAAACCAACCAGGTGTTACTTAAAAGGTCTTGCAATTGGACTCCTCAAATAATGGTCAACTAAGAATGCCTTTTCCTCCCTGGAGAAAGCCATTTCCAACAACAACTGGCAAACCTCTATTTCCTTTTTAGTACTGAGAACAAGTAGCGGCTGGAGCTAGGCACCGTTGAAAACGAACGCCGCGTTTAAGATGCGAGATGTTCGTACTGTTATTATTTGGAGCATCCCGTTTTGATTTAAGCCTATCTGTAACTTCTCCACATACGTTTGTCTAGTATCTCTAACAGGAAACTGGATTTGAGCTATACGATAATTTTTAGAACATTATTCACCCGGGGGCAAAACCTGACTTTACGTCCCTTTTATCCGTAACAGTCGACAATGAGACACCTGTCTGCAGGGAACATGACGAATGACGAGTTTGTCACTCTTCGGAGACGGTGCGAGAGCAAACAACAAAAAAAAGTAATAAGACAATGGCGCATTTACATTAAACTCAGATACTGTTGTATATCTGACCCGTCCAACAGTGGGTTAACGCGGATGTGCGTAAAAGGTATCGAGCGCTCCTTAATGTCGGCAACGGGGGGGGGGGCAGGTGGCACACTGACACACGCAAACACATGCCAGATTCTTACGTGGATCATTTCATTTAAGAAGGCGACGCGTTGAAGGCAGTACATTGAGCTTATCGCCACCATTCTTGAAGAAATTGCGAAGTTATTGCCACCACGGTAACGGTCAGGATAGTGTGTTTTCTGAACTGCACTTTACGTATAAAACAGTTTTATTTTATTTTTATTGTAATTTTTTTTTTTTTTTTATGTTTTCAGTGAAAAAACTTAGCATAAGAAGATTGAATTTGTACGAATAAAATTGAATGATTTGAAATTCAATTAAAATTTATTATTTTTTTTTAAGTGTTTTTTCTGAACTGCACTTTACGTATAAAACAGTTTTATTTTATTTTTATTGTAATTTTTTTTTTTTTTTTTATGTTTTCAGTGAAAAAACTTAGCATAAGAAGATTGAATATGTACGAATAAAATTGCATGATTTGCAATTACATTAAAATTTATTATTATTTTTTAATAGGCTTACCTGGTTTTAATAGCTTACTCACGATCAAGACAGTTACAGTGAAATGGCGCATGGAAGGACATCCACACACTGTTATATTTATCTTAAAACTACTAAGCTGTCAACATTAGTGATTCATTGCGTGGCAATATGCTAAGTTAATTTGGTTGTCATACTCCACTAAGCGATGTCCATTTTGTTATTAGCTAAGACGTCATTGGTGACTCTATAGTTTACTCACGGTTTAAAAAAAAGATCACGTGAGCGATGGCAACGGCCCTCAACCCGTGGGTCGTGACCCTCTCGGGAATCTCATTAAATGAGAGGACAGGGGTCAATTGAGAAATTTAAAATCTAGAACAATTTTTTTGTAAAAGTACGCTTATGTTTACCACCTTTCATCTAACAATTTTAAATTATTTAAAGTGATCGGGTTTCCCTAAAGCTATATTTTTAAAACAGTTATGATTCCTTCAGTAGATGTCAGTAGTCAATTTAATTTGTAAAATGTGACCTTTTTTTTTTTTCATTTGTTTACAATAACATTATACTTGATCTCGTTATTTCCTTTTAAAGCATTTTTTTCAAGGATGCATGCCCCTAGACATTCAAAAGTTAATAGTAGTTATTATTTTATGGGGAAAAAAACGATTAGCAGGACCGAAATCTAGACTGCCATGTTTTAAAAATGTTTCTATTTCAATGATGAAAATGAACATACAAGGAGATGATGATTATAGATGTACATACATTAGGAACATTAAAAAATGTTACATTAGTCTTTAATTTCTAAGAATAGTCATAGATCTAGTCTTGAGTCGTTACAATGGATTTAATGGCACCACGGCACTATAAAACTTGAGAACCACTAAGCTATAAGCATTTAATAATTGACTAAACATATGAAATATATTTTATTTTTTTTATTTTTTTTTTTAATGAATATGTAAACTTTGAGGGATCCTCGAAATGGTTAGAAATGCATTTTTTATATTATTGTTTATCATTAAAATATTTAAAAAATGTGAGGGGGTGGGGATATCCTTCGTCTTTATTAAGTTAATTGTTATTCTCATGGTGTTAAAATGTTAAAAAGTGGCAGCAGGAAATCGAAACCAAAACAAAACACTAAAATTTATTTAGTCTCCAAATCCAAATGCGCTGCAGAGATGTTTTATTGTTTAGGATTTTTACAAATTTTGTGGATAGCGTTAAAATAAATTGAATGTAATGGTGGTGTCTTGCTATTGACGTACTTGCCATGACCTTGAGGAAGGTGACGACGGTCTGTCTCCCAGAAACCCCATTCATACTGAGTGAAAATATAAAACTTGACACTACAGTTGACTGTATCGGTTTCCCCTAAAGGCAGATGGGGCGCGTGCGTAGGGGGTCCCGAGACTTTTAGGAGCCGTGCGACTAGGGAACGAAATACATTCGAGAGAGGGGGCGTGATTTGACCTATAAAGTACTAGTAACGACGGGCTTCTCGTGCACAACTTATAGATTAATGAATAGAAATGAGTAAGTAATACAAACAACACAAGTCGTAAAGTTCTCCTCAGACGGTAATCTTCAATGTTAGAATTTGGAGAGAATGGTCTTTTGTTGACAGCATGAGGGAATACAATTTTAAAAATTGTCAGCCGACTGGGTCAGTGAAGAATTTGGAGAGAATGGTCTTTAGTTGGCACCATGATGAATGGAATTTTAAAAAATGTCAGCTAATTGGGTCAATGAACAATGAGACCAAAAATGTGCAACAAATAAAATAGGCTTTTTTTTTTCATTTCTCCTTCGTGATATTGAACAAAACTTTGACTCAAAGTTGAATTTAATGATAAGATACTTAGCGGGTGGAGTAGGGGAGAAGTGAAGCAATGGCGGGGCTTGACTATCCAGGGTGAACTCCAAAAAGTACACCCCACCCCCAAACGTACACATATCAATTTATATAATGTTGGGTCTTAACTTTAACGGGTATGCATCCCCTCCGCACGCTCTAGGTACGTCACTGGGGGTGGGGTGGGGGGGGCAAAGTTTGCACTGACTTGGAGCCAAATGAGGTAGCGACAAGAAGAGAGAGCCACACAAGTACGTCCTTGACATTTCTGCCAGGGCCACACAGTTATGTGAGACAGGATAGTACAAAAGCTGTAGTATTCCCTTAGTCTGACTTAGAGAATCCAGAAATTCCAAGCAAATATCTCCTGACTTGAATTAAGCGTCACTAACAATTAACTTAGAGTTAAATTAAGTGCATTGTAGGCTCATGCATGGAGCTGTTGTTCATATTTACTTAAGACAATCCCTCCTCATGGTGTCAGAGGAGCTGGAGGTTAGAACACGGAAACCAGTGTTAATGATTGCATTTACTGCGATGTCCACCTGATGAAGCAAGCTGTTGTCAAAATAGTTAGGGCCATAAGAGGGTACTCTCAACCCAATAAGAGAAAGTCATAGATTTAGTAGAGTTGATTTAGATACACTAAGAATAGCAAGCTTGAGATAATAAACTAAATTTTACTTTTCAGTGTCCTACTTTGACCAGATGATATATGAAAGGATATCTTATACAATACACGGTATTCTGTTAACGTATACGTCTTTTTTTAGTAATGTTATACTAAATCAAATCTGTCAAATTTGATTAATCCTGTAACATCTATTGGATGCGCGAATATCTTTTAAACTGTTGATTTTATCCCCATAAAAAAATCATTGGTATCTTCACCACACGTCAGTCTTGTAAGGGCTCAATTTGTTTATTTTCTGTGACTGTGAAGTGGAGTACCGAACCCCTTAGACAACCTGCCTCTCACACTCAACCCCACCCCACAATGCGCACGCGAAATTCAAAACAATATGGATGGCCCCTTTGCTATATAAAAATTAAGAAATGTTTGAATCTGATGCAACAATTCCAAATTAATGTGTGTCTTGAAATGTATCACAAATCTTGTTTGAATTATCCACCTTGAGCAGCTCGACTGAATGGAATAAAAATGGAGTTGAATGCACTTGGGGGCTCACCGTTATAAATTGAAAAATCATCTAGATCAGTTGTTTCCTGAATGGTCAAACAACATATAAGTTGTTAAATAAAAAGAAAACATAATAAATAAATCTGGCACCGATCCCTGCTGCATTTCCAAACTTGCCCCCTGGTCCACCAAACTTAAAGAACAAGGCAAGAGTTGGGTAAAGACTTTTCCTGTCTTTGATACAATGGCAAGAGTTGGGTAAAGACTTTTCCTGTCTTTGATACAAGGCAAGAGTTGGGTAAAGATTTTTCCTGTCTTTGATACAAGGCAAGAGTTGGGTAAAGACTTTTCCTGTCTTTGATACAAGGCAAGAGTTGGGTAAAGACTTTTCCTGTCTTTGATACAAGGCAAGAGTTGGGTAAAGACTTTTCCTGTATTTGATACAATGGCAAGAGTTGGGTAAAGACTTTTCCTGTCTTTGATACAAGGCAAGAGTTGGGTGAAGACTTTTCCTGTCTTTGATACAAGGCAAGAGTTGGGTAAAGACTTTTCCTGTCTTTGATACAATGGAAAGAGTTGGGTAAAGACTTTTCCTGTCTTTGATTTATAAAACATTTGGAGAACTCTGTTTTCTGTACAATATTTTAACAAACACTTTAAAAAAACAACAACAAAACAAAAAAAACACTTGAATAAAATCATATTTCTTTATTCAATGTTTTTTTAATTTAAATAATTTAAACTTGAAATATTGAAACCAATGAACTATTTTATAAAAGCATGAATGTACATGACTAGATGAGTTAAGGCAAAACGTACAATAATTTGAATAGTGATTTTATGGTTCAAAACACTTGTAAGCATTGTAAGTAGACAGGACAAATAAAAGCACATCCTAAGACAACGTTCATCAATTAAACTTGAATGAAAACGATGTAAGGAAACCTATTTGACCAGAATTTACATTGCAAAAATATAAAACAACAAGTTTTATCATGGGTTCTGCAAAAAAAACAAAAAGAAAATGGCAGCAGGCACTTGGCTTATAATAAATCTGAAAGAAGAGAGCAATTTCATTCAGAAAATCTGACTTTTACAACGAAGCATTTGAAGACACAAAAAAAAAGGAGCATTTATATCATATTTTTAACAAACTGTTCAACTGGCAGTTGCTATGAAATCCATTCCATTAACTCAAGTTATTTTTCAGTAATTTTGTTATTCAACATTGTCATTTGCTACTTTATTTTGTATACAAAATACAATGGAACACCTAAAGGCTGCTTCCGGGAAACCAGCTAAATTTAACGTGATAACAATGATAAGACATGCACAGTTTAATAAAAGACCTTTGAACATTAATATTCATGTTATTATAATCTTTTTTATTTTCCCTCCAATATCAAATAGTCTTAACATTAAAATAAAAAGCAAAAGAAAATAAATCTTTACAAAAAATTTCAAGATATTAAAAAAATGATTTTATTCATCACATAACATAGAGATGCTTTAAATGAAAGCACTACCTGAGTATTATGGTCTTCTGAAATAAAGATGGTTCATTCTGACCTTCACACTTTTTAGGTGCGCTTTTCTGTGCAGATCTGTTCTGAATCCTCAACTTATTTTTTTAAAAGAAAATCCTCAAGTTTCAATAATTAAAATGTTAATTTTAATCATTTATTATGTGCTTATTGTAAAGGAGAAATTTCCTTACATTAACTGCACACACTAACATTGATGTAAATAAAGCATGATTAGGCACTGTTTTTCTTACATGATTTCACTTGCACATTTTTATCTTCACAGTTTTTTAGGAATAACAGAAAGTGAACATTTTGCCATTTGCATAGTTCAGAGAGCCTAAGAATTTGTTAAAAAATTTTCTTAAAACCATTATGAACACATTATGGAGTTGTATTTTTTTCAAACATTTCGACTTTTACAGCAATATAAAAAATGTTAGACTAAATATACAAAACTAACAAGTGTATTAAGCATTGTTCCAGCATGTAAAAATAAGACACACTAAAAAATTTTTATCTTTCAACATTCTAAAAAAATTCTTAAACATATTTTTTTTTTATTTGCAACAATGAGAAACCATCTCCAGGCAAATTATCATAAGTTAGGTAATATGGACTATATTATAAGTGTCCAAATTTCCTCAAATGACAATATACTTTGAAGATAAAATGCCAAAAGACATTTTTTTTCTCTTTTTATAAAAATCATGGATACATAATCCTGTGAATCCACTGACTTGAAAAAGAATCAATAATTCTTTTTTCACAAGGCTGGAAATATGGTTGTCATATTTACAAGGCTGGAAATGTGGTTGTCATAGGATATCATGGGGCAGACAGTCAAAGAATTTTTGGACCATTAGTTACATAAATACTTCAGATATGGAATGACATGAATAAAAAACTAAAAATCAGTGGGTAAATGCTACGATCAAAGTTACCGTTCTTTGTATGTTTTTTCTAAAAGTTTGAATAAAATTTTGGAATGTGAAGTAGATGCAATTGGTCAAAATCACAATATCTTTATATTGGCTGGTAGCAGCACTCACATGCTAATTTTAATTGTAATGGTTCTAGGTGATTATCTTTTCACAAACAAACTTCACAAGCATTACTCTACCCTCTCCAGTGTAAACAAACGTTTACAGGGGAGAGAAAAATCAATAATGCTAGTCACTCATCCACTATGAAGTCAGTGGCAGATCCACCATGAAGTCAGAGGCTGATCCACTATGAAGTCAGAACCACTATGAAGTCAGAGGCTGATCCACTATGAAGCAAGAGGCTGATCCACTATGAAGTTTTCAGTTTTCCAAATCATTTTTTATGAATTTTTTTTTTGACAGCTATTTATATATTTTGATTCCCAAACTACCACCCCTTAAAATACAAAGTTTTCTTTACTATTGATAAATTCTTTTTAATTAGTTAAATTTTGTTCACATACTGTGGTGCTATAGAATACAATAACCCGTTTTCTTCTTGTTTTTTTCTCTTATATTTCATCAAACAAAAATACAGAGTTAACGCAGCTCCTTTTCAATAGTTGAATACCTTTTAGGGAGTTATAAACCAACAGTGAAGGTTTGAAACATAAACAAAGCAAGTGTGACATACACAACAGCATTTCTATCAGAGTTCTTGATTGGCTTGTAACAGCTGTAGGCACAGTTCATCTAACAACTTAATTGAACTGTTCATGGCTATTAAATGTCTGGGACAAGAAATGAAGGAGGGATGATAAAATATGGTGCACGACATAGCTTTTCTGACAATCTCAAGCCTATAAATTTGAAAACAGGTGTCTGTTTACAATGAACACGTAAAACAAATTTACTTCCATCAGTGGTCCCCATCCAGAGAAATTAATTTTACTGAAATCTTAAGTACACATTTCACATTTAATGATTTAAGACATACAACATAAGAGTATTCAACATTATGGGTCAGGTACTTATTGTCTTTAATTGTAAAGTCTGTATGGACTAGAAATCAGATTTAAAGCTAAAATGCTAATGAAAAAACACAAAGCATCTTTATGTATTAAAATAGGTACTTTTTCCCCAGATGAACTTCTCCTACATTCCACACTATTGCTAAATTTCTATCCCTAGGAATGTTTCCACATGTCAACATAAACTTTTTATAATGTAATTTTTGTTTAGTTTGCCCTCATCCTGATCCAGGACTTTGCCTATTTCAAAAGACACAATGTCCTTTGAGTCTACACTTGTATCATAAAGGCATGCAGTTTATGTCTAGTGTTTTCATGTATCCATCTTCAAAAATGTTATAACATTTGCCACTTTTTTCCTATTCTTTACTTCTACTATGAAAAAAATTGTAATGGTGGCATTTTACTAGTTCAAGTTCTGAAAAACGAATTAATTCTCCAAACCTGGCTTGTTGGTAGTTCGTGTCATTCCGTGCATCTCCACATGATTAAAAAAACTGGCAATAGCAAGAAAAAATAAGTGACCTCCCTCAAAAGTCAGTTGATTCAACATCAGAAGATGAATTATCCGACACAAAATAGCGGTTGTGCCAACGAGTGGCCATTCTTATAGGTACATGATAGAGAGGTATTTCAGATCCTGTCAGACTAGTTCCAGTAGGGAATGAGTCGAAAGCTTCATTAGTGAAAGCTGCTCGTTCTATCATCTCTTCTCTATAGATTCGTATTCGTTTTTTCTCCTTCAGAGATTGATTCTTACTGAAAAGTGTAAATGTAACGTTATTTCAACAATTTAAAAAGGATCATTATTGAAGCCATTTAACTTCTGTCTGGTATACTATGCAATTAAAGTAATCTAAATAAATATTAGGAAAATTCAATTAAGGAATAATAATTGCAAAATTTAATTTTAAGCTAAAATATGGTGGACAACAATGCACATAATGGATTGAATAGCCGCAATGAGAGCCAGGAGTGAACTAATGACAAGTTACCTGTGTATGCAGACTGCAATGACAATAAGCAGTATTACGAGAGCTAAGGCGGTTAATGACATGCTGGCAATCAACAAAGTCTGCGTCTGCTCATCATCGGTTGCTAAATGTAAAATTAATGTTGTTAGATAAATCTTTTAGCAGTTTGAACTTGCATAAAAATTAGTTTAAAAAAGACATTTCGTGACCTAATTGTTCAAATAAGCTGAGCATTTTTTATTTTTATAATGTATTTTTGGCGTCACTGAATTTACATCAATGTATATCTACTAGAACTCAAGACAGGTGACACGTAATAACCGTCAAAACCAAATTATTTTTCAGATTTGGTTGAAATTTTTCTAAAAACTTTTTACAAAATTTTAGAAGTGCTAAGGCTAAAGCTTATTTTAAACTACGGTTACCGGAAATTTGATCAAAATTTCCGGATACAAAAACTCATTTTAAATTACATGACTTGTGCTTAGGAACTCTGAAATAACCTGTACTTGGGAACTCTGAAATAACCTGTGCTTGGGAACTCTGAAATAACCTGTGCTTGGGAACTCTGAAATTACCTGTACTTGGGAACTCTGCAGTACCATTCTAGTCCATGTGGTTTGAACACTTAAAAGGAGAGGGCTGATTATTATTTTTCAAATAAGAAATGTAACTAAATCCCCGACATATCAATTTTAATCTTAAAAAGGGACTGGGAATAAAAGAGAGAAGACACAGGTTTCCTAAAGCACTTACATTTTCCCTTGCACAATTCAACTCTGCAGTAGCAGCCTGAATATACTTCTTTGCTGCTACAAGACATGGTTTGGTTACAGAAATGTTCACAGGCATCTGGTGAAATAAGAATGAAACAATGCACATATTTAAACTGAATGAAGACCCTCAGAACTCTTTATCAATGCAATGTCCCATGCAAATTGTTTCTTCTTCTTTTCTGCAGTATCAATGTTTTGTGTAATTTATTATTTTTTTATTCACCTCATATTGACTTAAGACAATGTCTTCAACTTGAAGTCATATATTGTTGATATCAATGGCTAAGCATAAATCTCAAGATCATTATCTATTTTTTTTTTGTGTGATGATTCTTTCTTTCAGTTAGGGGGTCGTCCATAAAGGACACCCAGAAAGAGTAGGTAAGGGGATTAATTCAAAAGCAGTTGCAGATAATGGGGAGGTGGGGTGAAGAGTCTTGGCGTCCGCAAGCTGGCATTTTTTGTTATATTCTGCTTTAGACCCACCATTTGATTTATATAATCAGACTCATGTTGTGCACTGTATAATACGGTATGTGGACGTCCACAAATCAGGGGATGTGGGAGGAGGGTGGGGAGCCACATGCATTCAAGAATGGACAAGGCGGAAGGGGGATAGAAAGAAATGCATATTTTTTGGGGTACGACTTTCATGAACAAGTTTTTACTATGCTTACTTATTAATATAATGCTATCAATGTTTATGACAGTCTCACCTATACATTTCCCAGCTGCTGTCACACCAAGCTTACACTCACAAGTGTAACCATTGTCTTGATCTTTACAAATCTCATTGTTGTCACAGGTGGCAATTCTTAATTCACACTCGTTGACTTTCCCTGGTATGCAGAGCAGTTTGCTGTAGGCCCCTTCTTTTTCAGTTGTCAGGTTGATTCCACAGGGCAGGCAAGTTGTTTCTTCTGCATTGGGTTGGAACGTTCCAATGGGGCAGGGGTGGCAGGCTCCATCCGCAACATTCTTGTAATAGCCTTTTAGACATTTTGCTGTGCAGAAAGGAAATCAGTTCCATTTTATATGTGTTTTCTTATTGATAAAGGATGTGTGTCATTAATGAAAAACTATTCGAGTATTACCAGGCAAGCAGAGATATTGAAAGTCTGATATTTGAGGGTGTGAATACAAATAGAAAAAAACAGAACCATATCACTGTAATCTCGTGTCTCCTTGTGTTTTTTACCACAGGCTAGTGATGATAATAACATTAGATGGGAAACTAATTGGATATTTATAAATTCCTCTCAAGATTTTCATTGAATGAAAGCACAAGGCCTGGGATTTTGATATGGAGAATAAGCTGGTTCCCAATGAGCAGGTCCCAGGTATCGATTTTGTCTTTACTCGATTTATCAGCAGCTTTCGATACGCTGGACCACTGCATACTGCTCCAGCGTCTGCAACAAATGTTTGATCTCACTGATACCATCCTGTGTTGGTTCCGATCGTATCTGACTAATCGGGTCCAGTCAGTTATTTCAAACGGCTTGACCTCGAAGAAATCTAATATTGAATTCGGAGTACCCCAGGGCTCGGTCCTAGGCCTGGTGCTTTTCACGATGTACATTCAGCCCCTGGGTGCAGAGATCAGGCAGTTTGACATGTTGTATCACATGTACGCGGACGATACACAACTTCATCAATCCGTGCTCCCTTCTCAGTTCCCTCAGCTGCTCAGTATGACACAGAAGACAATGGACTCGGTTAAGCACTGGATGACCATAAACAAGCGCAAATTAAATGATAAGACTGAGCTGCTCCCCATTGCGACCGCTCAGAAGCAAAAATCTGCAAATAACACGACAGCCATTACTCTCTCAGGTGTGCATATTGAGTTAGCTCAAACAGTGCGATACCTGGGTGTCTACCTAGATAGAAGACTAACTTTTGAAAGTCATATTAACATGCTATGCAGGGCGATTTTTCTGGAGCTGCGCAGGATTAGTCACATCAGGCCCTTCTTAACAATTGATACAACAAAGAGGCTGATGTCTGCATTTGTGCTATCACGCATGGACTATTGCAATGCTCTCATGGTGGGTCTTCCAGCTACACTCCTGGATAAAATTCAAATAGCACAGAATAATGCGGCTCGCATTGTTCTCCGCAAACGCAAGTTCGACCATGCAAAAACACTTCTGAGAGAGCTGCACTGGCTGCCGGTGCGTGCTCGCATAGAGTACAAAATCGCAATGTTGTGCTACCGCTGCTTACATGACCTGGTGCAGTCCTATCTGAAAGAGCTGCTGACGCCTTATGTACCCACTAGAGAGCTCCGCTCATCCGATAGTGGCAAACTCTCGACACCACGTGTTTGCCTTGAGACTTACGGAAAGCGCACTTTCGCATTTGCTGGTCCAACAATTTGGAACGCCCTTCCTGTCGATCTCAGAAACAACCAGACACTGGAGTCCTTTAAAACCAATTTAAAGACACACCTATTTCGCAAACACCTTCTGGGATGATTGTCAACCTTATTTTCCAGTTAATGCATAATGGCTGTGTTGCTTGGGGTTGAAATGGCTAGAAAGACTTTGCAATTGTATGCTAGTAATTAGTTTTTGTAGTGTTGCGTTTGTTTTAAATGTGGTAAATTATAGATTTGTATTTTGTTGACTATGTACCGCGCTTTGAGCCTTTGGGGATGAAGCGTGTTTTTGAAATGAACTTTATTATTATTATTATTATTATTACTCTCTTCACACAGCTGATAAACCAAAGGGAACATCTAGTGGATGATGCAGCTTGGCACCGTAGGCGCTGCAGGAGTTTCCAGAATTGTTTCCTGAATTATCACAGAGTTAATGTCCTATGCCATTTTTCTGTGGGGCGTTTGTCTCCCTTACCATTTAAAAGGGCGATGTTAGATGGAAGCAAATTATGAGGAAATACAACATAGTCTAGCATGTGCTGATGATGCACTCACCAACGTTGCACTGGCTCTCACTGAATGATCCTTCACCCTGAGTGGTCCATCCAGCAAGGCAAGGTATACAGTGGGGTCCTGTATCACTACCACTATGAAATGTTCCTATGAGACAAGGTCTGCACTCTCCATCTTCACCCACCTCCCGTCCTACAACACACAGTGCTGATAAATTTTTTTTTAAAAAGATGAATTATTTTACAGAACTCTGATTAGACCCAACTTTAATTTTTTTTTCCTTTGCATGCAAGGTAAATAATTGGATTTTTTTTTTAAAAATAGTTAAATATTTTAAATTTAAAAAATTCGTTTCATTGATTCATTTTATAAAAAATATCAATACAATGCATTTCATTGCAAAGGCACCAGAATATTTATTTATGTAACGAATATTAAGAATATAAGAGTTTACTGAATTATGAATAGATATTTGAAACTAATTAGGGGAATAAAGCAAGGATGGTCACCCTGGCAATCTTCAACAGATTTAGCTCCGATTGATTTTGTGGTTAGACCTGTAGGGCAGGGCATACACTCCCACTCTGCTTCTTTGTCCTGATAGTGAGCCAGTGGACATTGTTCACACATAGATGTCTCAACATTAAAGTAGCTGCCCAAATCACAAACACCTGTATGGTAAAAAAAAAAAGAAAGGTGTCGATTTTAAAACATGTTTCTAAATTTAATATCAAGTAAACAACATTTATTTAGATTGAATACCTTTAAGGTTTAGTTTTAACTTTTTTAAACAAGATGATATAGACTTAGTAAGTAAGTTACATTAAAGCTAACTCATGATACAGCTAGCAGAACATTACCTAATGCAATGACGCCCATACCTTGAGCATTTCTAAAAAGAATGCTTTTATTTTTTTTCTTTGATTTCACAGCTTGTCTTTAGCATTTTTACACACTTTGTTGATAGTACAACAATATTTATTTTGCTTCTGGTGTGTCCTGCTTCCCCTTCAAAATTGCCCTCCCCACTCCACGTTTCATATTAATAATACTGATTGAAAAAAAGGTTGTAACACGAGTGTCATGCATAACGCTGGTAAAAAGGTTGGGTTTTCTTCTTTAGAAAGGAATTAATTTGTTTTCAAAATGTCAATGTTTTTTCACAACTTTGTTCTGGGGCTGCAAACCACACAAAACTGGGTCATGGGCCCTCCTTTCGCTTCGGGCATGTCTACCCCTGTGAGTCTTTTCCATAGATTGGTACAGGAAGGTATTGCCATTTTCATTATACTGTGACTGTTGTCTTTGTTATAAAATGAACGTCAGTATTTTCTCTGTCCGAAGGTTTTTATACAACATCATCTCTATTCCTGAATTCGGCGACTACCTTTTCCTATCAGTGGGTTATTTCTTGACATAAACAGTTGACAACGGCAAGGCATTCTTACAACATTATAGGGCAGTAAGACTTTGCTGCCTATTATAGCAAATGAGAAGGTAACTTTTTCTAACACTTGGACCCACCAGGTATTTTCTCAAAATACCCATACCCGGTGTAAAAAAAAAGTGTGTCCGTTAAGCCCTATTAAAACAATATTATATTACCACAACTTACTAACACACTGTGAATGGCTGACAGTCCCATCACTTTGGGTTGTTTTACCTTCCGGACATTTCTGACACAGAGTCTGCAATGGCTTCTCATTATACCAGCCTCTAGTACACGGCATGCAAATATGATCTTGAGTAACATAATGACCAGCCAAACAGTCAACTAGGAAAAAAAATTTTTTTTTTAAAGAGTTTCAATAAACATCTAATACCGGTATTGGTATTTAAGAGATTTTAAAAGGCATAAGTATAATATAGATTTTAGTTGTTTTCTTTCAATTCGCATATGTAAAAAGTGCTTACCACAAGTTTGGTCTTGCAGTGTTTGCCCAATCTGGCAAAGTGGCAAGAGTTGAAGATGTTCTGAGGTCAAAGTAAACTGAGACTCAATATTGTTTTTTATACTTCGAACTATTTCATCCCTTATGGTTGTCAGAGTTGTCATAGGTTGATACTGGCTGAAACAGATTTAAAGCACATAAATAAATTTTTAAATGCCTGAAAGTATATTTTCCCAATGCTCTTAATACATAAATACAAAACAGCTCTAGATTTACACAGAAAACATCATTAGGAATAAAAAATGGACACAAATTTTCAATGTAAAATTCTTTTCAGCCACCACTGTTATAGATGTTTTTATAAACATCAGTAATATATCAGTAATAATCAGTAATGTCAATAATACATCCGTAATATATCTGTAATATGTCAATAATACAGATTTAATATACCTGTAATATGTCAGTAATAGATTTGTAATATGTCAGAAAAACATCAGTAATATGTCAGTAATACATCAGTAATAAATCGCATCAAACAAGCTGAAAATAACTGGGTATTCCTTTCTTTTAAAACAGTTCATTGGTTATTTACACACACTTCGACCACTTAAAAGGCAATGTAATTCTTAAAATTAGATTAGCAAACTACAATATTATATTTTAGATATCGTGGATAAAAACGTACTTTACATCTGGTAACAAGCTGATATCCAAAGTAACATTATACTGTGCTTTTGTATCCTCAAAGGATCTCTTTTTCCTTATCATCACATCATTGATGCACAGGATGGGTATATCTTTTGTGTGGTTGCATACAGAGCTGCAAGCTTCCAGCTGGTTCAAGATTTTCACTAGTTTTTCATGAAGTTCATGTTTAAATCTTTCAGAACAAGATGGACCTTCAAAAGTAATACTTCCAAAAATTGAATAATTTGGGTTTCTGTAACCTGAAAAGCATTATGAAGTGATTTGGATTAGACAGTATTTCTTTATAAGGATAAAAACAATATACTTAAAAAAACATTATAACTATGACAAATTTTTTTAAACTCATAACTAAAAATGAAGAGTATTATTGCAATCGAGTTTAACAGTAAAATAAAATAATTTAAACGGTCTTTAGTTTCTTAAGCAGCTCATCAGAGTTCTTGACTCCCAAGGATGGAGTTTTTCTTAGTTTTCAGTACATTTTGTTTTAGCAACAAGCCAGAACTTACTTGCACATGCAGGGAAACCAGTGGGTGGATCCCAGACACCTTCTTGTCCACAGCGATAAAATTTTGGGACTGGGGTCATAAACTGAAATTTGTTCATGCATGAAGGCACACAATATCTTCCATGCTGCCAGTTACCACAAACTCGGCTTCCACTGACAGGTGGTGGTGGGTCAATACAATCAAATCCTGTTTAAAGGAGGTTGTAAATTAAAATTAAACTTGTTACAGCAAGAGTTCTCATTGAAATTCATACATGTGTGCTAAAACCAAATTTATAATCTCAAGAGCCACATATTTGCTTCCTAAATAATTTTTTTTTTTGGCCAATAAATATTAGTTTTTAACTCTATTTGGGAACTCATTCGCTATGGCCTGTAGCTACTCCCATTAACAAATAATGGGCAGTTGTAAAAGCCTACTTAATTTAAAATAAAATAAAGTCTTTACAATTTTTAGAATTAATATTTTGTTTAATAATTTCAAAAGTATCTTCTTGGGTCATTTAGGCATTGGCATTTTCCTTTGCTCATTCAAATATAGGATATTTTTTTCTGTTTATAAGTTGTCATTAAACTTGAAAATAACCCAACAAACAGAAACATTTAGCAACATGACAGATTATTGAACTTCCTACTGGGGGAAGTACGGAATTTTGTTATTATTCAAATACAAATAGTAAATAGCTCAAACTGATCAAATTCTTCCCCTTATATAATTATTAAGCCATTTGTCACTGCTAAAAACAAGAGTCCTTGGCGATTAATTGTCAAAAATTAATCCTTTGTTTGGTTTAGTAAAAAAGTTTTTTCACTTTTCTTAAAATAAGTGTTTTATTAAAAATCTTACAAAATACTTCATGGAAAATAATATCTTAGTCAACATTCATTAAGTATATGCCAATAAACATTCAATATTTTAGTGGCTTTTTAAAAGTAACTTACTTCTGAGAAAAATGTCAAAACTGCACTGAGCTGAGTTATTGTTACTGTCAAAAGCAAAGTATGCAACCACATGATGACCATACGAAAAGTAATGTCCTGAAGGAGAAACAAAATGACACAGAGAGTTGAGATGCTTGCATAGGGTATAATCTATTTAAATTTAAAAGAAAGCACACACAAAACATTAAAGGATCATTTTATTAAGGCTTGCAAATATATTTTTTCAATTAAATTAACTCTTGAAGCATAAAACATTGAAAACCAATTAATGAAACAGCAACAAAAAAAAAAAGAAAAAGGATTTCCTGCCCTGTAAAGGGAACTAAAAATGATGGCTCAAAAACTCTCAAAAATTTAATAGGATCAATACCTGATCTAAAATTCTGTATTACAAGGGTTACACCAACATTGTCTGTGAACACTGGTTCATCCCATGTCACAGGTGCTAGACTTTTGTCACTGGTCACAACTTGTGACTCTGGGCAGCTGACTACCGTGGGAGGAATTTTGTCAAGACCTTCAGTAAATATAGAGTAAAATAAAAGATTTAACACTGAATGGCACAAAATTAAATGCTGGCAGGACATTGCCATAGGAATATTAGTACAGTAGAAACTTGATTAGTCATAATAATGTTAGGAAAAATCACAATTGAAATTTTAAAATATTCATATAACTGAATATTAAAAATAATCCTAGCTATATCTAAATCTCTGATTCTTACATTTATTGTTTTGTATCATTTTACATGTGTAATATGCTTGCCTTTGATTGAAATCAAAATTTTGTTAGGATTGTTTCCTTTTTTAGCAGACATATATTGCTTTATAAATTTATTCAGCATTAAAAAAGTTTTTTTTTATATCAGTCATAACACCAATGTAGGCCCTAAGTCATGCATTTAAATGTGTTCATCAAATATGTATATAAATTATCGTCCTAGATGTTCTTCAACTGATTTTCATGTTGTAGTTCCATAACAATAATGCTGTCCAACCATTAATTTGTGATTTTAACAAAAAAATATTGTTTTGTTAAAATCCCTTTAAAAAAGATTTTACCATTTACAGTTGAGCCACAAAGACCGGCTGTACAAACAGTCTGTTCACATTGTGATGGCATGACAACCTCAACATCACCAAAAAGGTAAGTGCTGGCTAACACCCAATCAAAGACATCCCCACGCTATAGTGAAAAAAAAACAAACACAGTCACATTAATGATAGGATTTTTTTTTATATAGCATCATAATGAAAAATATTTCAAACAGATTTCTCTTTTCAAATACTTTTAATATTTTAATAATTTGATTGCAGAAAAACAAAAGAGCTAAAAGTAAAAAGGAGTACATAGATCATTTTTATAAGGCATCTGAATTAAAAATAAGCGGATCACTTTTATAAGAGTAACTACACATAATATTTAACCTTTTTGCTACCCATGACGTCGACGGGACATCACGATCACCCCCTTTCAAATACCAAGGACATTGCATTGTCATCATAACATAGAGGCAAAGAACTTTTCTGAAATACCAACGACGTCACGTCGACGTCATATTTTAATGCTAAATATTTCTTTATTTGTTAATCTATAGAGAAGTTAAAAAGCGAATCCGATAGAGAATGAAAAATACCGAAAATTTCTTCTTTTAAGTATTTTTATTGCTGAGTTAGCAAAAATCAATGCCAAAACTAGCGTAATGAAAGGGTTAACCAAATGTTTATTGCTGACAAATAAACTTCTAGATCAGGATGATAATGATGAATCAAATTAAATGTTCTTACAGTCTTTAGGTCCTCATTTGTGCTTCATAACTGCAAATCGTTTTCAACTCTAAATCTTTTGATCTGAATATAATGTCATCGGTATTTGTCCTTTAAATTATTCATTATGAGAAAGTTGGCCAATTAATAATATTTTTTTTTAACATTAATGTTTCTTCTTCATTTAAAATATAACTTTCTCTAAAGGACAACATTTAAAAGCATTTTTAATTAATGAACGAGGAGAGAGAAAAGAAATTCCTAGGCAGAAAGACCAGTTTAAAACTGCTATAAATTGTGAAAGCTCAAATGCATTTAATTTGTATAAATAATGTTAGAAGAGACTGTCAAACCTGAGTTGGTGTGCAGGAAGAGGCCTGATTGAATACTTGGTCTTGAGTCATTGCCAAACTGTATATGTTTAAACTACTCAGGTGACCTTTGAACCATTCTTCATCACTTGATGTGTTCTGTTGCCCCAGTCTCAACTCCAAACTGTCAAACAAAAAAAGATTGAGACTTAAATTGTGATAAGAAACTGTTTTCCATAACTGGAACAACATGAAAATGAAATAAATGCTTTTTCCTGTGACAATGAAAGGGGACATTTTTCTTAAAGTCAGTGTGTATGGGGTATGTCCAAATTGTGGGTAGGTTTCAAAATCTTGTTTGTTGTTTCTAAACCCAACTCCAGTTAGTTGAGTTGGGCTAATTTAAACAAACCCAATAATATAATTTTTTAAATAAAAATGTTCTTTTAATCTCATTAATTTCTTTCCTTGCAATTCCCGGTATTGTCATCCAGTCCATGTTTATCTACCCAAACCATGACAACCATAAACGATATGAAAGAGGAACCAATTCATTTGTTCTTTTCTCTTCGAAAATAAATATTTGTTTCTTTTTCAGTCATATCCCAGATGGAAATTGATAGTCTGTTTTAAATACAAACGTAAAAAATTTTTTTTTTAAACAAATATTTTAGAATTAACAGAGTATAGAAAGTATATCACAGCAAAGATTCAAAAGAGTAGTTGGAAGTTAAGTCTGTTGGTTATCTCCATTTTATAGCCATAAAAAAAAATATATTAAAAAAACTGATAAAGTTTTGATCATTAATTATTTTCTGCTCACCTATCTGCCATTAATGTGTCATTTAGATCTCCACTCTGTGCTGTGGCTCCATCAAAATAAACTGTCCAAAATGTTGTATTCCAGGCCAAACACATAAAATGCCACAATCCATCATTGATGGGTAATTTGAAAGAGTTATTCATAAACATGGATGCCATTGCTTCAGAATTTCTCAGAGCCAGGACTATCCTGTGAATTGTATAAGTAACATTTTACCCATTAACATTAGGACATGACATATAAATGATTTTTTTAAAACATAATATAATTGGTTTTAAAAATATTCAAAGATGTTGCTTCATGATTGTCTATATACATATGAGAATAAGTTAATGTCACTATGTCACACTGAGTTCAAAGGTGCAAAAAATAAAATTCCTGATAATTGCACAAAACAGTGTGTAGGCCCTATATTTGTTTTCAATCGCTGTGAAAGATAACAATCCTATTTATATCATGGAATTCTTAAAAACAATGATAAGTATTTTTTAAAGGAACTCTAATCAATTTAAATCTGATAAAATAAATCTGCTTTTATGCAAGTATAATATGTAATCTTTAATATGTAAGTTTTTATTTAAATAGGTTACATGATTTCAGTCATAGCAATATCTTAAGACATCAAAACAGACTTTAACATTGGTAAAAAGAGTTTAAATAAAATTACGATCTATAAATTTTATCAATTTTTATTTTTACATTTCAAGGGCGAAGAAAAACCTTTTTCAGGGGGTTGTACCTATTGATATTGATATCTCGCATCTATGACAAGCTCGAGTCTACAACAGAATTGTTCTGTAGTATCAATTTTAATATAAAAAATAAATAACCGCATTGTCATTATCTAAATATAAGGAAACTGTTTTATGTAGAAAAGTTAGTACAATGCATGGTAGAAGGATTAGGGACTATATAGGAAATCGATTGCAAAATAGAGCATTTTATTTTTATTTTAACTATGAGTTAAGATTTTTTTGTTTATAAAGAAAATATTCCTTTTAACACTCTTTGGAATTTACATTAATGGAAAAGTGCGGATATTATTTATGACATCCAATATATTTCTTTAAAAAACACAAGATTGTTTCAGATGTGAAAATTGGTCAAAAGATATTTCTTGAGATATTAGCATTATGTATTTAATGATTGTCAAATAATATTGTTAAGGAGCGAAGCAAAAGTTTGGGGAAATTTTTAATGACAATGCCACCCAGACCCCCCTCCCCCACCAACAGGATGACTAGATGGTCCAAGTTTATGTTGACAGACGAACAAGAAATGAGATTATTTGTAAAATTTAAGAAATATGTATCTTTGTTTTTCAGGAGCATGAAAAGGGGCCTTTATTGTATAGAAGATAAAAAAATTCTCAAAACCAAATGTTAGAAACGTAAACATCTATACATAAATGCTTGAAAAAATAAGGAATGTCTGGTTTACTATTTCCTAACTATACATTTCAAGTATGTTGAAGATTGTCATAATTTTCTTTTAAGGATACATTATAACCACAGTCAGCTGCATATTTGTAAAAATTGGATGTTTAAATGTTGAGACTTTGCAACACATAGTAGAAAGTAGTGCAAAAGGCCTTCCATTATAACACCCAGTGAAATTAGGTAATATCTTCTAGTATATATATATCTCTCGAATTTCCCTTAGGATGGCTTGCGCTAGACTGGGGGAAATTCACATCACTTTGCTCGAGGTGGTGTACACGTGATCTGCCTCTTCGTGGCATGGGAGACTAGTACGGACATGCTTCTGGAAGCCAAAGATCACACTGCAAAACGCATGACTTCTAATGCAACGGAAGTTAAGCGCTAACATGATTACGTGTTGCCGGTTATGGGTATGAGGCAGTGAAAAGATTCACTACCAGTGATTAAAAAGATGCGGCCTTGAGTAAGCCGCCCCTAGGCGACCGTTTCGTCCTCGCCACGTCCAGCCTGAACAGCTCCCAGAGCGGTGGGTTGAGGTAACGCAAAGCCTCCCCTGGAGAGGAAGTTAAAGCCGTTCTAACCCTTCACAGTCCTGTCCAAAACGCTCCCGGAGAAACGCGGGTTTGAGGCAACGAAATACCTCCCCGGGGGGGAACAAATCGTTGGGAACCAAACTTGCTCGTACAACTTTTGGGACGGTGGGAGACAGTAAGCCAGCAACTACTCCCGGAGTGGAAGCAAAGCCGTCCCACACCAAGGAAAACGTAAAGCTCCCGGACGGTGGAGGTGGCAACGCAACGCCATCTCCGGAGTGGAAGCAAAGCCGTCCCACACCAAGGAAAACGTACAGCTCCCGGGCGGTGGAGGTGACAACGCAACGTCATCTCCGGAGAGGAAGTAAAGCTGTTCCAACCCCCTCTTACTATAGGCCGAGTTGCATGGCCGGAGTCCCCAGGGACTACTGGGCTATGTTTCACGGCCAAGGTCATAAGAGATAGACTCTCGCGACCTTCGAGTATTGATCTTTATTAGTATATATATATATATACATACATACATGGAAATAATGATAATACAATGGAAAGGTAAACTTACTCATCTTCAGATGTCAGTGATAAATATGTGCTTTCAGAATGAACTTTGCTCCACAGACAAATACTCAGCTCACTAAAATTGGCCACATTTAACAATGGAGGTTGGCTGGAAGCATAGGAATTTCCAGGAAAATATAAATCAAAGTTTGATGACTTTTCTGTGGGGAAAAAAATAGACACTTGACTAGAGAGTTCAGTAGTTCATCATTAAAATTAACTAATGAAAACGAGAAAATTAAATGTCACTTTTAAAAAAAAATTTCCAATTTATGTCATATTTTGTGACAAATCAAAGTATTATTGACAACAAAATAACAAAACAACATTTCACCTTTCCCACAGACAGAGCCAGTGTAGTAAGGTGTGCACATGCAAACATCTTTAGAGTTAACTCTACTGCAGCTGGCTCCATTAAGACACTGAGATCTATTCTGGCAGACATCCAAAGAGTTTTCACATAGTGCTCCAGTAAAACCATTCTCACAGGAGCACACAAAACTGGAGATGTGGTCACTGCATGTGCCACCATTGAGGCAAGGGTTTGACTCACATTCGTCGACATCCAATTCACAATGTTCACCAGTGAAACCTTTGGGTCAAAATATATTTTTAAAATACTCATAAATGTATAGTATGTCATAGTTCAATATCATTTTTTATCAAATGAGACTTAACGATTTGAGTCTAACATTGATAGCATCTATTGTTTTCCTTAAAACCACATAATATAAAGACAACTTTCCATTTAAAAAAACATAATTTATGTCATTAATGATTACAGTTTTTAATGTTGAGATGAGCTACAATTTTGTCCCAGTGGAATAAACAACATTATATATTCCTCTTTTTTTAATGCATTTTATTTTCCTTGGGGAAAAAACATTTGTTTCAAAACTCTACTTTAGATTAAAAAATTAAAGGACATGAAAAGATTTAGGATAAATTGTAAACAGTGTAGCCAACTTTTAAAAACAAATGACAACACTTTATTGTATTATAAAGATGCTAGGCATGAGTTTACTAAACTAAATCACTGGAAAGCATAAGGTTCAACTAAATAAGCTGAAACAAAATTTAGTTACACTCATGAAGTCATCAATGATAAAACATGTTTTCATATTCTTAGAAAACAATGGCATAGATAATTTTATTCATATTCTTGAAAACAATGCCATTAGTGATCTCTTATCAGTAGCAAGATCATAATTGTATGCTGTGTACATTCTGTCAGACCAATATCAATGATGAGAGGGTTTACCTTGTTTACAAATACATTGATGATTTCCTGGAAGTTCTATACAGGTGCCATCATTTTGACAGGGAAGACTCATGCATTCATCAATATCCACCTCACACAGTTCACCAGCAAATCCCACAGGACATCTATTTAAAATTGGGTTAATTCATTAAACTGAACACAGTGTTTTTAAAATTAAGATAAAAATGTTTTTTATCTTAAGTATTGGTCACTTTTAATGTATCCACTTTATATTCATAAAATTTAATAAACACTTATCAAGAAAAAAATTCTATGGCAAAGACATTTTTTAGTAAAAGTTTTTACCTCAACTGCTTAGATATTGAATATCGGTTGTATATAACATTTTTATATATGATTATAAAATAAACTAAACAAGCCAATTGTTAATGAATGTTATTACACCCAATTTTTTATTCGCTAGCTTAAATTATTATTAACTTACTGACAGAAGAAGGCGTTCACTCCATCTTTGCATACTCCATTGTTTTTACATGGCTGAGCCTTACAGTCATCAATGTTTATTTCACACCTGGCACCAGTGAATCCAACTCGGCAATTGCATTCAAAAGCATCATCCTTTGAGTTGCATGTACCACTGTTTCGACATAGATTTGAATTGCACATGTCAGTGAGGATCTGAAGAGAAAAAAAAAAAACTAAAAATAGTTGTCCACTCATATTAATATTTCACTGATCACAGAATGAGAAATTTCTATTAAGCCTCATGAGATAACTGGGTTGATATATAGGGCCAAGGGTCAGTGTCGAAAAAGATGAAGGGCCGATCCAACAGCCCAATATTACAAGACTTGAGATTTGCTGGCTGGTCTACCTGATTCTGATTTAATTCCTACCCAAACTAAATTTTTGCCATTACCTAGACATATATGACACGTTATATAATTGCAAGATTGTACTCTTTATTTGTGTGTAAATTAGTATTTGTATTTTTTGAGGATTGTACCTTTTCACTTGCTGTGCTGTCAGTTGGCATAGTTTTTTTAGTTCTGTATATTTAATTTTGTATTTTTATAGAAATTTAATATTAAAATAAAATTAAATATTGTTAGTATCAAAACCTTTGGTATCGTTTTCTTTCTATACTGGTTTTCAGATTGCTTTTCGCATTTCTTGCTCATCTCAGCATTTAAATGGTGACTGCAATTGATAGATTACGGGGTTCCATCATTTATATCAATTTTTTTTGTACCAAGTGACCCTTATATATGCCTAAAAGTAAAAGCTATAGGTCCTAGACATGTGCCACACAGCATAGCAAACGAGGTGGAATATTTAATGCAGTTTTTCACAATCAAATTTGTATTAGGACTTATTTAGGCTCCAACACTCAGAAAGTTCACCAACATTCTGCAAGTTAGACAGGTTTATCCTAAGTGGAGACCGACCCAATTTCAGCTTCGGTACCGAAAGTTGCTATTTTATCACTTTTGATGCACTTTCTGTTTTGGCCAAAACAAAGCAGTTAAGGTTCATTTTCTTTTTGGTTTCGGCCAAAACAGACAAGTTAACTTTCGGTTTCTTTTCAGTTTTGGCCGATAGTGATTGAGACTTATGGCAGAAAGTGACTGAGGCTTTTGGTCGTCTACCAGAAGTCAGAAGCAATCCAATATTTATTATTGCTCTATGTCTTGCTGTCATAGTATGATATATGAATAATCCTCTGCAATCTTTGCTCACAGCTGAATGATGACCTAATCGCTCTAGTATGTCCAAAAATATAATTTCAATTAGGCTTCGGCTTATGTAGATAGTTTTGAGGGAAAAAATATGCTGGAATGGTTATATTAATTTTTGTTTGTTTTTGTTTTAATGTTTTAAAATACCACTTGGGAACCCAAGGTTTATTCAATTTGTTCATTTGTGACATTTATTGTGATTTATCATTATCATGATCATAAATATAGCAAAGGTGAATATGATTGTGGGAAAAAAAATGGTAGAGAATGGTAACATTTTCATTATTAATTTTTAAAAAGGACAATTTAAAAAATTAAAATTAGGGAACCTTAGATTTATTCAATTCATTGATTTGTTGAAATTCATCATTATCATGCTGATAAACATTGTCAAAGACAAAATAACACAGGTGTGCATGTAATCACTATTTCGTTTAATAATTATGTAGTAGGCCTACTCACTGAATTATCATACTTATAGTAGTTTAACATTCGTTCAACTTTTGTTAAATTTGGGTCAAATATGAAATTAGCCGAAATAATTGTGGATAAATTAAACATTTAAATGTCAACCAATAAGAAAGTGCATTACCACAAAATGTTTATTTAGTGAAACAAAAATTTCCTTGAAGGCTTTTGTCTGGACATTTTAGTGGGGCCTACCAATAAAAAATACATAGGCTAAGCTTTTGATCGATACCAAATATGTCTAGGCAGCTTAGTAATTATTTTATAAAAGCAAAGGGCACCCAAGGGTCTATTTTGCATGAATTTTGCCGCTACCCCTTCCAGTAAAAGTTTTCATTTACCATACTACTTTAAAATAAATGTTTAACAACTTTAAATTAATTTTTAATTCAAATGGTAAAAGCCAAAGTATTCATCAGATGTTTATCTTTTAAAACTTATGAAAATCACATGCCCATCAGTTTTGGATGTACACAGAATGTTTGCATGAACGAGTTTTGAAATATTTAAATCTTTCAGTTTCGGCCTCCGTTTTGGTCAAAGGTCTTGATAAGCTTTTGGTTTCGGCTTCAGTTTTGGCTAAAAGTCTCGTTAAGCTTTTGGTTTTGACTTCGGTTTCAGCCGAAAGTCATTTTTAACTGTCAGTCTGGTTTTGGCTAAAAATCAAAAATGACTTTTGGTCAGCCTATTATTCTAAGTCAGTGGTTCTTAACCTGGGTTCGATCGAACCCCAGGGGTTTGGTGAGTCAGTGTCAGGGGTTCGGCAGAGGTCAAAAAAAAAAATCAGAAAAAATAATCATATTTTATTTTTCCTATTAAGAAGGGTTCGGTGAATGTGCATATGAAAGTGGTGGGGTTCGTTACCTCCAAAAAGGTTAAGAACCACTGTTCAAAGTATACAAAAAATTGCTTGCATAAATAATGCAAATCAGTAAATATCATTTGCATAAATTTTGAGGTTATAAAGATTGTATTAGTTCATTAAATTTCCTCAATAATAATAATAAACATAGTTTTCTATTTGTAAAGTAATTACTTTATTTTTTATAAATTTCTTTGAAAACTGGGCTGGTGAAAAGGGCTTCCCCTTCTTGACACAGGTAGTCCAAAAGGTCTTTACCTCAAGAGGGTTTAAAAAATGGGTGAGCAGAAACAGATGAATGAAAAGATTTCACCATGCATATTAGGTGGACAGAAACGGAGGAAGTTATTTACCTTGTTTGGATCATAAGTTGCTTCATTAATGCCTTTTTTATCTTCAAAGGTATCCACAGAAAAATTGCAGACTTGACCTGAATGAATACAAACAGAGACAGCCTCTTAATATAACTTTTTAAATATCAAAGCTAATTTGCTGTTAACACTTAAAACATGGGCGTTCAAAAGACAATTCTATTTGTAAGTCAGGTGTCATCAAACCATTGCTTAAGAAGCCTGGTCTGGATGAAAATAATTTAAAAAACTATAGACCAGTATCCAGCTAATCATTCTTTCTAAAGTCATTGAAAAATGAGTTCTAAAACAACTTTTTGCTTACTTAAACGACCTATCTCTTCTCAGTCCTAATCAGATGGCCTATAGACCTTTCCATAGCACTAAGACAGCTCTCTTGAGAGTCACCAATGACCTTTTGCTCGCATTGGACAGTGGTGATATCTCCATCCTGATCCTCTTAGACCTCAGTGCGGCCTTTGACACTGTTGACCCCCTTTACAAAACCCTTGAAAATTACTTCAGAATTTCGGGATCAGTTTTGTCTTGGTTTAGGTCCTACCTCTCCAATAGAATGCAGGTGGTCTGTCAATGGCTGTCTCTCCGGCAGTGCTGACTTGGTGTACGGAGTACCACAGGGGTCCATTTTGGGCCTGGTTCTATTCACAATGTATACCAGGCCACTTCTCCTCTTGCTGGGGAGGCATGCTATGGAGAACCATTCATTTGCAGATGACAAGCAACTATACAAGCATACCCATCGCTCTCTTGCCAATTCTGCTGTCCGGACTTTGCAGGAGAGCATTGATGATGTCAAGACATGAATGACACTCAGCATGTTGAAGCTTAATGATGACAAAACGGAAGCACTCCTTATTCACGATCACAAATAATCCTTTAGCTCAGCTCTCCTTACTTCATTTCATGTAGGTTATTCCGACATATAGTTTACAGTCTCCACTAGAGTTCTTGGTTATGTTCTGTCTAACAACATGTCTCTTGATAATCATATCTCTGACATTTCTCGCTCTGCATACACCGCTATTCGTCAGATCAGCTCCACCTGCCACTACCTTACAGTTAGCGCAACAAAAACCCTAGTCTGTGCTCTTGTTCTCTCTCTCATCAAAACATGCTTATAAAATTTACAAAAGGTTCAAAACTCAGCTGCTAGGCTAATTCTAAAGACGTCATTGTGTCACACAACTACTTCATTGGCTCCCTGTACAAGCACGGATTGACCACAAACTCTCCATTCTCTGCCACAACTTTTTATCGAATTCCTCCCCTTCCTATCTAATCAAACTTCTCTCTTTCTTTTCACCCCTTCGACAGCTTTGCTCCTGCGCAGAGGCACATATTCTTTCTGTCCCCAAGAATTGCACAAAAACATACGGTGAACGATCTTTTTCTTTCTGTGCCCCCAAACAATGGAATTCTTTTCCACTACACATTAGCATTATCCCAACTATCACAGCCTTCCCTTCAAAATGGCACTCAAAACACACCTCTTTAAACTTTACTATCCTGACTGATTCCCCCCATCTGATCGATAAATGATGGGTAGCCGTCCATGGCTTGACATGTAAATAGTTCTTGAATGTGTGGAGTGAATATACATTTGTTTTGTTTTATTATTTAATAATTGTTTGTTGATTTTTAAGTTCATGATGATGTTTGTTAAATTGTATGCACAGTGTGTTGAGCCCAGCCCTAGGCTGGGGTACCGCCCTATATAAAACCCCCACTAATAATAATAATATAGGCAAGAAATTTTATATATTTCTTATTGTCAAAATTTGTGTTAACCATTTAAAAAAAAAGATTTTAAAATCTTTATTAACTTTATTTTTAATTTGATCCCACAATGTTTTTAATGTTTTTATTTTTTCTGAAATTATTTAATGATATTAATGTCAGGCTTACTGCTTAATACATACATTATTAAACATCATGAAATGATAACATTTGGATAAGGTTAATTTGCATTTTTTATTTGGCATTTTTATCATGAGAGTGTGTTAAAAATGTTTTAAATGAACTGCGATAACTGTTTCGTCATCAAGAAGGGATGCAAAAAGGTTAAAAACCCCTCATTTAGATTCTCTTTGCCAGTCAGCATTGTATTTCTAATATCTAATATCTACTGAGGCGCCATCAAAAAGAATGATCAAATTAAATGTTAAAAATCAATAAATACCATTACCTTCCCAACCAGGCAAACATTTACAGTGGTATGACAGGCTCTCCCCTTCACAGCTCTCAGTCCCCAAGATATAACAAGGCATTGGTTCACAGCTGTCAATCTTAGTCTCACATCTTTCTCCTGTGTAGCCTTAGTGCAAATGACAAACGATTTACTTTGATGAAAGACATGGTATTTATACCAAAATTAAAGATTCAATTTTAGGAAAGGAAAACACAAAGCCCTGAGTGCTGAAAACAGCTTTTGAAATATTTGTTTAATCATAATCATACAAAGCACAAAGGGAAACCATTGGGCTTCTTATTATTAAGAACTTAACATCTTTACAAATATTTCTTTATTTTTACCAATTGTAAAAAATCTGTAACAGTAGCAGTAGTGTGCTTTCAGTGATATAAGTGCACCCCGTCATTTCTGGCTTTAAAAAATATATTCACTGTGCTAATTCCAATAGAATAGTAAAGTTTCCATTGACAACCCGATTAATATATGTTGAAAGAAACAGCTGCATATGTGTAAAGGCATGTGTGTAGACCTAATTTAAGCGTTATGGCCACCACCACTTGTCTCCTTTGTTTTAAAGAATGCTATCAGGTGACATAATCTCTAGATTTCTTTTCTGGATGGTTTTGATTTGATTCCTACCAGAAAAAAAAGAGATTTGTTCCATATTTCCTAAGACATATATGACACATTTTAAAATTGCAAGATTGTACTCTTTATGTGTGTATGTGTAAATTATTATTTATATTTTTTGAGGATTGGACCTTTTCACTGCTGTGCTGTAAGTTGGCATAGTTTTTGTTTCTGCATATTTAATTTTGTATTTTTATAGTAATTTAATTTAAAATTGAATTAAATATTGTTGGTATCACAAGCTTTGGTATCGTTTTCTTTCTAAATTGGTTTTCAGTCCTTTCTTACATATTGTTCATTCTACTGGCCAAAACTTAACATAGATTACATTTTCAAACCATATAATTGTACGTAAAACTATGTAAAACTTTATTGAATAGCCACATTAATAGTGGTACCTGTGCTACATTCACAATGCAAAAATTCTTGAGACCCCTTGCATTCACCTCCATTCAGGCAAGGTTCTGAGTCACAAGGGTTCTCTTCAAACTCACAGCTAACACCAGAGTAGCCAAACTGTTGAATAGAGTTTTATTGTTGTATTAATCTTTAACCGCCAAAACATTCTTTTAGCATAATTGTGAGTTGTTTTTTTATATAAAACTTTGACTTTAGAATATGTTTTTATGGTATATGTATTAAGGAAATTTGTTAGCAGACTTACAGGACACAGGCAACTGAATGTTCCAACTTCATCTTGGCAAAATCCATTATTTTTACATGGTGAGCTGGCACAGTCATCAATATTTTCTTCACAAAATGTACCAGTGAAACCTATGGAAATCAATTCAATCCTTATGCAACATGGATACAATGCTAGTTTGTTCATGTAGATCTCATAATTCACATTTACAGTTTGAAAACAGGAAAAAAATTTAAGTTTATAATATAATCAATGAAAATAATATTTTAACGGACCATCTACATAATGAAATCCTTCTTCAGCTCTCATTTTTTAATGCAAATAAAAGTATAAATATTAGCTGCAATGAAAGTAAAATACAAAGATGTATTTGGTATGCCCATTTACAGAAGTACTTATTACAAAGCTAGTCATGACTAAAAAGTATTTAAAAGAGTGTTATTATTATCATCACTGCAACTAAAAATTATGACTTAATAACTGAAACTTAAATTCATACTTAAAAAAATTAAAATCGTTTGTATACATTTAACTTCAGCTTAATTATATTCATTCCACTGATGATCTGGGACTGCAAATAGATAGAATGATTTAAATTTTTAGGAAAGAACCCTGCTGGACCAAGCTCACAAATTTCCACTGAACATTGTTTTAGCAAGAATTTTTTTTTCTTCTTTTAAATCACTTACCATGAGGACAAGTACATGACAATTGGTTGATGCCATCTTGACAAGCACCCCCATTTAAACAAGGGCTGTTGGCACACTCATCAATGTCTGTCTCACAATGCGCTCCACTGAAACCATCCTGCTATAAGAAACAATTTTAAGTCACTAATTACATTCTGAGAAATTAAAATAGCATCTGATGACTAATTATAAAAAGTGTTGGACTGCAATAAAGCTTTAAAATATATTAATAAGACACGAACAAAATCTTCTTCATTGTTTAATTCTGTATAATGTACAATTATTATTAAAGCTAACTCATATTGTTCTATTGACACAATTTGTTCGTGTCTTATTAATACATCTGATGACTGTGTTATAAGTAATTTAATAAAATCAAATAAAAAATGTTTTTGTTAAATAAAAATTGTGCATTCTGAAAGAGTAGTTTTATGACTGTTTTTTTTTTTCATTTCAATACGTCTAAATTTTTTCATTAAAAAAAAAATGTCATTAACAAATGGTTTATATTTTAACCAACAAGTACTTAATACAAGCAATAATTCTTATATTCCTTAATTTTCAAGTTTTTATTTTTTAAACTGATTTAGTCTTTTAACTTTCTTTCAAGTTATTGAAATGGAATATTTTTTTCACAGTTTCAACGCAAAAAAGTTGTCTAAGCTGTTTTTTTACAAATTAAATGTTTCACCAAACTAATTACGTATGTTAACTTACACAAAAGCAATGTTGACTAAACCCTTCGTTTAGGCAGATTCCACCATTTTCACAATGGCAGGGAACATCGCATCTATGGGAATAAAATATATAAATAACTTACTCCATAATATATATTATATTAATATATTTACACTTAAAATTTCAAAGTGTTTGTAAACAGCAAAACAAATTTTATTTTTTGTAATCATAAATTGTGCACAATTTTGCTTCCATTGAGCCTCTTTTTCTCTTATTTCTTTTTTTGTTATCACTATATGACAAATTGGTGTAATCATTGTATTCTATATATTTTGTTTTGTGTGCAAAGAAATGATATAAGACAAACTTGACATATTTCTAAGGTAAATTTTTCTGCTGAAAATGTTTAATTATTTGTATGTTGCCAGGTTAGGTAAATATTAGTTTTATTATTCTTCTAATTGTTTAAAGAGTTTTCTTCCTTCTTTTTCTTCTGATAGTTCATTACTCTTATTTAAGATCCACTTACATTAATGTAAAGTATTTTTTTTTAACTATATATTTTTGCATTTTCAGCCAGTGAAAGATTTTATTTAAAGAACTCAGGATATTAAAGAGAAAAAATTTCTTCAAACCTCTCTCCGCTAAAGCCCCTATTGCAATGACATCTGAATCCTGAAGTAGTGTTTTCACAGTGTCCATTCATACCACATGTATCTGTCTCACAGCAGTCCATTTTGTTAGAGCGATTTGGACTAAAATAGTCTGTACATAAATAACATAACTCTATTAAAAATTTATATTATGAATTTCGGGCTTGTTGTGTTCTTTGAAATAATCAAGTTCTTAAGTTTTATTTTAAAAACAGTTAATCTAATGATTAAATTTAATTGTTAATTTTAAGGCCGACAATTTTTTAAGTTCCTTTTAAAAAAAAATCCCAACTCTATGAAATAACTTTGAGGTAATTGGCTTGAAAAAAAGGAGTAAATGCAAAAAAATTGATCAATCACTCAAATAGTCTAAAACACAGACGGCCAAACTACACAATGTTAAAATGCAGAATTTTTCACACAAAATATTTCAAATTTGCCTAGTAAAAAATTTGGGCTACAAGTTGATGACATATTGCATTCCCTAACAAAATTTTCATTTACTATCTTATTTTAAATCTGCAAAATCTTTCAAAAGCAAGAAACAAAGCAAAACTATAGTTTTATTTGCTGACATGTTAAAAGTATTTAGCTTTTCTAAAAATGTATTCAACATTAAATAAAAAAATCAACATAAATGTTTATTTTCTTCATTCAATAACTATTATATCTGTAATTTATCATTGTAGTTCTTTATGACTTATCTTAAATTATTATCTTAAATTAATATATTGGTTTCATGACCATTTTTTATTAATAATTCAAATTTTATAAATGCTTTCTATTTGATGTACCACAAAAATGCTACATAAGATAATTTTATAAATTTAAACTTTATGTATTTCAACATATTGCATTAATTTATTTAATAAACATTAATGCAGCTAAAATTGTAAATTCACGCCCATAATTCAGTGAGGTAGCGAAAAAGAAACTATTCATTTCTTCTTTTGATGTATGTTTGCAATTTAAATTTTATCATCTCATGCCCATGAGTGTCTTGCTCAACCTTAACTGTTTGACTTTTTTGTATGTGCACTTTTAAACTTGGATATTTTTCATTTCTTCACATTGAAAGTTGCTTGACATTGTGTGTGCAACATTTTACATTTCCTATTCTTAAACTACTTTTGTTAAATTATTAAATCCCATAAAAGTAAGAGGCAAACAAAACTATTAACAGAAGAATATCTAAGTGTATAGTGTTTAAAAAAATGAACGTTATTTTTTAAATAAAAGACATTCCAAAATTATTATTATTCCATGCTTTACAAATGCAACTTCCTTCATAGTTGAATATAATGATAGACTGTTTCAAATCTTGATGTACAGGCTTTAAGTCAGTTATTGAAATAAATCCATTACAAAAGGACAGCATTATTACAGATTTATTTTATTGATGAAACAATCTGATTAAGGGCTACCATAAAACACTATTAACATACTTTTATTGTCCCTTTTACCTGGCTGACATTTACATTGCAACTCATTCCTTTGGTTCAAGCATGTTCCATATTTTAAACAGTTGCATTGATCAGATTTATTCAGACATGTTTGCCCTTTAAAAAAAAATGAGTAAATCTTACACTTTCTTTGAAACAATATACTATACTTTTCTATAGAATGTCATACTTTTAATACATTTTTGAAGAGAAACAGTGCAATAAAATTGAATAAATCATTTTTAACCAAATCCAGGATAATTTAATTGATTTATTTGTGCAGCAAATGTAAACAAACAAATTGAAATACAAAAGGCCATGATCAATAAAGGTATAAAAAATCATTCAGATAAACTCATGCATGTACAGATTTACCATAATTACTGACCTGACAAACCTTGTAGGCAATTGCAAGTGAAGTTTCTACCATTTGGCACACAAGTACCCAGGCTTTTACAAGGGTCGCCCTGGCAAGGATCTGTAGGAACTGAAATTTAAAGAGATTAATTCATCTTTTCATAAAACACAAATTAAATATTATAATATATATATATTTATATATATATATATATATATAAATATTTTTATTTATTATTTTTATTGCGTTATTCAGAAATATATTCAGGTATTTAAATTTTGTTCCAGTTTTATTTCAAATCCGGCACAAGTTTTTGTACTGGTTTGCGATTCCAGGTGTTTGAGACCTAAACTCAGAATATTATACACTAAATCTTGATCAATTTAGTCTCTTATGGCTTTTGTGATAACCTGACTCCAATTTTCATAGACAAGTTAACCTTATGGATGGACTACAGGATATGTGAATAATTTTTTAATTTATTCTGTCTAATACTTGTGTTTTTTTATTTGTGACAGTAATTCAAAAAATAATCACCTGTGCATTGACTTCGACTAGTGCTTCCCGCTGAAATTGTGATCTTGTTAGAGGGACAAAGCTCACAGATGCTACTGTTATACACAGCAATGTAGTGGTTGTGTGGACAAGGCTTGCAAGGAACAAGTCCATTAGCAGAATGGTAACCAGGCTCACATAAATCTGATGATCAGCAAACATAGATTTATGTTCTAGTACAGAAATTTATTTTTTATTACTTGGCAAACAATTTTTAATTTGCCCAACTTCATAATGTAAAGGATTATATAAGCAGAGAGAATGACATAGAAAGGATAAAGTTACTCAGCATTTTACATAACTTGTCTTTGCTGCTTCATGCATAAATTATAGGATTGTATATTCATAATTTAAAACCAACATATTTAAATTTTTAAGGCTTTTTTTTTATATTCTCATTATTACCTGGCCACTTATATAGTTGTAATAAAATGATTAAGATATGGACAATTTTGGGTTAGGGTTAATATAAAATTAATCGTATCTGGAAATTTGATCAAAAGACATTTCGTTGACGGTAAAATGATCGAAGGTAATTTGATCCAATGGAAATGTTGTTGAATCATTTTTTCAGATTTTACGTAAAAATTTTGCTTCAAATTTCTTTTTGAACCCATTATTTTGTTTTACTATATAGAATAGTGCGTTCAAAAAGTTATTTTATGAAAATTTTAACTTTTGAACTGAAAAAAAGATTTGGCCAAATTTTCGTTCGATGAAATTTCCATCGATCAATTTACCGTCAACAAAATTTTTTCTATCAAATTTCCGGTAACCCAAATTAATATGGTTGACTTTAAGTTTGTTTTTCCCTTCTTTGCAAACCCAGAGAAAATTGAAAAGAACTATATAAAATCATTTCTTTGAGAAAAAAAAAATTAATCAAAGGAAATCTAAAAAAAAAAGTACACACTAACCAGGACAATATTTTGATTTATTCTTGTCAGAAGGGCATGGTTCACATGAAGTAGATTCTTGTTTTTCTTGATAATAACCCATTAAACAAGAAGTGCAAGGTTGTAATCCAGTGTGGGAATATTTGTTTATGCCACAAAGTGCTAAAAGCAAAAGATAAACTATATGAAAACGTTCTCTTGATGCATCCCCTCATATCCTCTTTTTACTGAGTCTGCATTAAATATATTTTTTTTTAATTCCTAGATTATACAAGTTTCAATAAAAAAACTAACTAAATCGACATTCGAAAGCAAAATTATTCTTTCTTTCATTATGATACAACATAATATAATCATTAACATTAGCCTTATTCAAATTAAGCTGGCAACCAGACATTATTTATAACAGGAACACATAAGGAATAATAAATATTATGTTTAACACTCCATCTGCATGCTACCATGACTCCATTATGCACAACAAGCCACTGTGACATTTAAGTGATTAGATGATATATTATGATGAATATTATTCAGATTGATAAAAACATGGCAATGATTGTAAGAAACACACCAAAACATTTATCTTCATGGTCTGCACCAGTTGTGATGGTAGAGAAGCCAGCAGCACAGCTTGTGCACTTGCTAGGGTCACTTCCATTCTGATAGGTTCCTTTAGGACATTCTTTACAACCGCTAGATGTTTTTAATGAGCCTGGAGGGCAATCACCTAGAATTGCTAATAATAGACATAGACAAATAATAATTTGAAAATTTATTTATTATTTTTTTTTTTTAGAAAAAAGAGTTGAAACGTGTAGAAATATAGAATAAGGCTTATTGCAGACCTATTTACCCCTACACTTTCACCATAGTAACAAGGTTTTTAAGACTATGGCAATGCAAGTACCGGTACAGTATTTTGACTGTATAATTTTACAAAACAAATCTTAAAATTTGTATTAACTTTCTACACGTAATAAGCATAAAAAAAAAAAACTGGATAATTTTTCATAAAATTTTAGTGCCTTTTTTCATAAATAAAAATTTATATTGTAAATAATTTATGCTGGCTGACATTGCTAGTGCATGGGCCAGTAGTGTGTTTGTCATATGAGTCAAGGAAGTCTGTCCAGTCAATTCCAATTTAGACCCTTTCTCATCCTAACAAACCTAAATGAGCAATTTATCCCACATATTTATTTGTGTAAATATTTGATGTATTAAAATAACATTAACTGTTCATGAACTTACGTATTTTTGTATTGCCAATAATAGCAATTTAAGCAGAGGTGTGTTGTTTTTTACACAACCGCTAACTGACCAAACTACTCTTAGTAGCTTGAAACTACATATCTGAGAGCCTAAATTTACTCTAACACTATTCCGGGGGCAAACAGGTCTGTTATTGGTACCATGAAAAAGAAAAGTATTGAAATATATGTGTAGAATATAAAAAAATTATTAGGTTTCTAATTTTTAAAAAAAGGAGACAATATATAAGCAAAAAAAAACAAAAAAACATCTACGACTTATGATTATTATACAAAACTCTGATTAGCTCAGATTTCAAAAGGAATTGCTAATGGATGAATTTTAGATAAATGTTCATAATAGAGATGTGAATGGTGACCACAATTTTTGTTGGGGAATATCTTAGCTCATTTATCTAAATTATTTATAGTGAAATTAGTTCATTTTGCGCCCTTTTTTTAAAAAAATAGCTTAATTTAAAACATTAGCACTGGGGTACAAAAATTATTAACTTTATAATTTTTATCAGGTACTAAAGCAACTCTTCAAAAAAAAAAAAAAATATTAAGTCCAAGCTGATACAAGACATAATGAAGCAATGTAAGTTATTACCTGCGATAGGGCATTCTAATGATGTTCTGTTCCATTTGGCATGTCTACTGCAAGCAACCTGTTCAGAAACTCCATTTGAAAGACAAGTCAGAGTGCAGATGAGACCCTGATGAATGATAAACCGTAAAATATTTTGTTGATTTTGTTCAGGGGGTACATTCAGGATTTTTTCAATTTTTCTTTTTTTTTTAATCAGACTTCAAATTATGGTCAAAGCTGAACAGCAGCTCACATGTAATATCACAGCTTTTTAAAATAATTAATTTACAAAAATATGATGCTACAATGCTACATTAAGATTAATGTGAAAAATTTCATTTTTTTTTAAAATGGGCTAAATTATAATCTATAATAACAAGCTTAAAAAAATAAATATGCGATTGCAATAATAAAATTTTAATATCCATGGATGACCAGGTACAAAATTGTGTATTGGAGGTATACATTAGAAAGCCAGTCACAATTTAATTAGAAAATTGTATGAGTATTTGCTGCATTCTGTTACCTCATGGTTGGGTCCTGTCTTAACACATGTCTTTTTGGCTCCAACAGGTCTATCTAGACTCCACTCAGGACATCCGAATGCTGAATGAATGAATGGAATGCAAAGAGCTTGAGCTTTTACTATAAAATGAATTATTAGTTTTTAAGAAAAGTGTTAGATTGCAAATAGTAACTGGTACATGTTCTAAGTTTTTTCCAAAGTATTATCACAGTAGAAGTAATGTATTCAACATTTTTTTCAAAGATTTTTTTTTACCACAGTTGGCTGTCTCAAAATATAAGTATATTTTAAATAGAGGAAAAAAAGAATTTTATCCCTTTCCATAGATTTTTTAAAAAAAACAACACAATATTAAGATATTGATTTTACATAAATACTGCATTTATCATTAATCTCTACTTAATAACAACGGTTTGTGAGATTTTTGTCATTTAAAGAATTGTTGTATCCATTTTTAACCGTCCTGTCCATCCTGTGGAGTAATGGCAGACTTAGGTCTGATTCTAACAATAAGAATAATTAAAATTTAACAGTGGTCTGATACGAGTTTTAGAATAGCATCCGGCACGGATGATGACTTGTAATATAGTGGACCAAATCTTGTGTATTATTGTGTAGGGTGTGTCATGTTATTGTGCAGGGTGTGTCTTGTGTATTATTGTCTAGGGTGTGTCTTGTGTGTAGGTTGTGTCTTGTGTTTAATTGTATAGGGTGTGTTGTGTGTTATTGTGCAGGGTGTGTTGTGTGTTATTGTGCAGGGTGTGTTGTGTGTTATTGTGCAGGGTGTGTTGTGTGTTATTGTGCAGGGTGTGTCTTGTGTGTTACGTAGGTTGATAAACGTTTTTAGCAACATGAGGCTTGTGATTTTTTGTGACATGGGGCTTGTGATGTTTTTGTGACATGAGGCTTGTGATGTTTTTGTGACATGATTTTTGTGCATTAGTGACATGGTTTCTAGGCAGTCTTTGTGTAAGTCCTTTTCATTTGGCAGTTGCTGTCTGGGCATTGGGTGAGAAGGTTGCATTGGCAGTTGCTGTCTGGGCATTGGGTGAGAATGTTGCATTGGCAGCTGCTGTCTGGGCATTGGGTGAGAAGGTTGCATTGGCAGCTGCTGTCTGGGCATTGGGTGAGAAGGTTGCATTGGCAGTTGCTGTCTGGGCATTGGGTGAGAAGGTTGCATTGGCAGATGCTATCTGGGTGAGAAGGTTGTATTGTATTCCTCTAGCGAGATGCGCTTTGTGTTTGAATTACTGCACAACCTGATGATGGATAACTTGGATTAAAGTTTATGTTGTTATTGGAAAAGGACTTGTGTTCAGTTTAATCAGATTAAAACATGTTAACAAATTTGACATGAGAAACTCAATTGTATAGACTCGTCAAATAGGATTTATTACCTGAAGCTAAATTCATTAATCTTTAATACTGGCTTAAAATAATACATTATTTTGAGCCTTGACTACAGCTCACATAATTTGTAAGTTGATATCAATAAATATTTTACAAAGAGATGGACTTTTTGGTGAAGAATTTCTTCCTTACGCTCAACTGTGACGTTGAATTGGCAAGTTCTAGAGTTGTTGCTGGCATCTGTAGCCTGGACACTGACAACAAATGTGACAAGGACTGGAACAACTGTATTCTCTGGTGGGTCATACAGCAACGTCACATCACTTTGGTTATCTGCCACTGAAAATTGTATATTCTTGTATGTCAGCTTTGTAAACATATCTGATGTTTTTACAGGAATGGTTGCTGCTTTCGGACATTCAAGTTTTGGTGGGTCCTCATCTGGAATGAGACAAATACAAATCAACAAATCTTGATCAGTTTATATGTGGGTCCTAATCTGGAATGAGACGAAGTATCTACAAATCTTGATCAGTTTATATAACATGAGCAAGAAATGATATTGAATATTGAAAATGTTTGACTAAGTACTGCAATAAATGTCTTGAGCATCTGAACATTCAAGAGATTTATTCAGTAAAATTGGTTTTTAAGGTTGCATTTAAAAATAATTAAAGCAGAAATTGAGGTGGTTCCAATTTTAATATCTCTCAGCCATTTTTTTGGACATGAACATTTGCATGCACCAAAGCAAAATTTCAATTTTAAAAAAGCTCAAAATTGTTATTACAGGATATTTTACTTAATTTCCCATACATCCCAATAAAACATTAGAGGGAAAGAGTTAGTTTTTTTTTAAACTGAGATAAATATTTTGAGGCCTAAATGGCAAATGTATACTTCTAAAATCTATTTATGACCCACAGACAAACCAACTTTTGACTGATATGTATGTTAGTACTTGAACCATTTATTTTTTTATATATTAACTAATTTCCTTGTTTATGATATTTATACAGTTAACATTGCTTTTTTTCCTCTCATTTATAATCTTCATTTAATTACCCATTCTATTTTCCTTCAATTTATGAGTGAAAACAGAAGTCTAGGTTATATTTTAATGTGAATCACTAAATCTCCACACAAAAAATTGAGATAAAATAATTAATAGTCAATTAATAATTAATGCAATTTTTGATGTCCATTTCTTCAGAGAGATAAGTACAGATAAGTACATACTATTTAGCAGCGTGAGTTCAATTTTTTTTGTAACATACATAGGGGACAAATAAAATACTTGTGGTGTTTCATTTAATGCAGAAACAGAAGCTGTGAATTACTCACTTTGTGTGCAGTACATTGCAACAATTCCAAGATATGGAAACTCATAAAAAAAATTTTTTTATAAGATTCAGATGACCCTGTTTCTGATATATTAATTTGTCATTACAGTTTTAAAATAACATTTCGATACAATAGTTTTAATCTGTATTTCCAGATGTTCAATAAATATTAAGAGAGAAGTGAAAGTTTTTTTAGATTATTTTTAGATTTTTTCCTAACTTATTAACCAAGCTCTCTTTTGCTGAGCTTTTTTTTTTTATTGTATGTCTGGCGCCAAGTTGCAGTGTATTAAACTCACATACCCATGATGTTGACAGCTATGTTGCATACCGCCTTGTTGCCTGAAGCATCTTCTGCTGTCATTTTAACTGTCTGCACCTATCAAGATATTTAGAAATCATTTTCTTTTAAAATCAAAAGTAAAGCTTTCTTACTTAAAGACTGTTGTATTGTTTAAAATAATGAAGCATGTTTATTTGCTGAGATGAGGTGAGCTGCTGGCCTCTCAATGGACATTGCAGCATTTTTATTTTTACTATCATAAATAATAAAATGACAATTTTGATGCTAGTAATAAAATAATTATTATTGCTCATCTCCCATCCAATGCCTACGTAGGGAGTCACTCAGGGAATGCCCACAAGATATCAAGGGAACCAGAGAAATACAATACACAGGATGGACCAAAATTAAGCAAGGGGCATGTAAACTGGGCTCTGTAGTACTGGAAGGTCAAAAGTGTAAAAGAATAAGTCACTCAGAAACCAAAACTTTTTACATTAAATGAAAAAAATTATTTGTTATTCGATAGGTATGTTCAAAATTTTACATTGGTACACAATTCAGTTAGTTAACATGATCTTTAAAACCTTTAAATTATTTTTTGAAACCCATTATGTTTTGGAAAAAATACAGGAATGCCCAAATAATGTCCACAACCAAATAATGTCAACAAATAAGTCTTATATATTACATATGTCATGACTTTTATCATTACACAACTATTAAAGTAATACTCTTACCTGCTGGAATGAGGAGGGCCATTCAAAATCAGTAGGTGTAAAATAAATTGTGGGTTCTTGCCCAGAATTATCAGTTGCAGTGGGCTTTGTTATGTTCCAAGGGTTGGCAATGAAGCTGTTCAGTATGACATGTACAGGCTCATTGGGACAATTATTGAAGATTGGTGGCTGCACATCTATGGGATAAAATTTGAGTCCTATGATTCAGATAAGTATCTATTTTGCATTACACAGTGTTTATAATACATGCATTGTTAAACTTAATCTGTAATTACTAAGACAAATAGTCTCCATCTTTTTGCCAAAGCCCTTTTAAACATGACAACAATTCAATTTTAAAGAAAAAAAAAAAAGAAAGTTAAAAAAAAAAAAAAAATATTTCAAAGCAAAAAAAAGTATAATGAAAAAAAAAAAAAAAAAAAAAAAAAAAAAAAAAAAAAAAAAAAACAAAAAAAAAATGTTAAACTTAATCTGTAATTACTAAAACAAATAGTCTCCATCTTTTTGCCAAAGCCCTTTTAAACAAGAAAAAAATTAAATTTTAAAAAAAAAAAAAAAAGAAAGTTAAAAAAAAAAAAAAATATTTCATAGCAAAACAAAGTCTAGTGTTGTGATCATAAGACATAATGAAGGTTACTATAGCAGACCTATGCAATAAGGAACATCATTCTGCCAACCAGCTGGTGGCACTGCATGGCGTTTGTGTCTGTGTAACATTGACTGGCCTGAGAGAAGAGTAAGAGTAAAACTACTATTGCAACAAAAAACAAAGGTAACAGTTTTATAACTAATTTGAGGCCCAGAAAACCAAGAACATAATAGTCAAACTCCAAGCTATACTTAAGTAATAGTCATTGTAGGTATAAAAAGATTATAAAATTTTTCTTAAAAGTAACCTTTTGTGTGGACTTGAAACAAAGTATTTTAGTCCTAATTATTTAAGTTGTCATATTTGTTGGTGTTTGTCGATTGCATGTGAAAATTAGAAAGGCTATATTCCACAGTCAGTACGCATACACAGGTGGCTTGTGAATCCTGTTTGTGCCTCCAAAGCTTGACCACATGCAGCAAACAAGGTTTTTACAATACTAATGGTATACTAAACAAAACTCAGACATCAGGACCTATTCCTTCTACCACTGATGGTTTTTAGTAGACTTTCAAATAAATTTACCCATTAAACATTTGTTCAAACACTGTGCCAACATACCATGTGACCAGCCTTCATCTGTCTGAAGTGGGACTTGGTGATCACACTTATGTGAGTGAGCATCATAACTGTACTCTTGGAAGCATCTCCACTGCTTGGTTAGCACAATATATTCCCCTGGGTTGCTAACTTCAGATCTGCAATGATCAGAGATGTTTTTGGCCATGGAGTTGCTGGGCTGCGGCAGAGCAGAGCCTAAATGAAGGAACACCTGTTCAGCACATTTCTCACAGTCAACCTTGCTGCCATTTAAGCTAATCAAAGTGAGTGGCATGTAAACCAATATTTGATTCTGAAACAAAGCATTTTGACAAGAAGAATAGAACAGTATCATAATTCATGAGGATATATCAAACTTGCAGTCATAACAAGTGTAATCAAAGTTTTTAAAACAGATTAAAATCATTTGTCATTTAGTCACGTTTCGTGATTATTAAAAATTGAAACCTAAATTTGTATCTTAACCTTTTTTTTTTAACAACAAATTTAATGTTTTGAAACTTCATTAGTCTTATTATCTCCCATACCTTCTGCTGTTCAATGGACACAGTCCCCTGTTCATGCAAGATGTGGACACCTTTAGTGCCATTGCAGACTTCATTGGTTAAACTTCCCTGCAGACCCACAATGACAGTGTTGGCCATTTGTTCAGCAGAATATTTAATAGCATTGTCACAGAAGCCAGCCTCAACAACGCCTTGCAAGATCATGGAGATGTTTGTGGCATAGAAGCTCAGGTTATCTAGGAGGGCATTTTACAGCAATATTTAGCCTCAAGGAACTAAATCATTTTAAGACCAACATTTACAGGCTGAAATAGATTTTTTTTTTAAATGTTCCTATTGACAAAACAAATTTTTAAAAGTATAAGCTAAAATTATTGATAATTTAAACTCTTTTGATATTTCATTCAGCTCATTTTATTCAAGTAGATCATCCTTTCATGCTATGGTCATGATTCATTTCCACTAATTAAACTTATTTCATATTAAAATTAATTATATTGTTTTTTATCTTCTAACCAAGATGATAAAAAAACTTGGCAAAAAATTATTATTATTTGTATTTTAAAAACAATTTTAACTAACTTTTCACAGGAGAAATATTTAAATCTCTCCCATTTTTTTTATTTTAAAATAAATTTTCTTTTCTTTCAAGTCAGTGTTAAACCAATGATCAAATAAAACTAATGTGAACTTACCATCAATGCAAAAAAAAAATTGAACCTATCATAGTGGTATGCAAAAGGAAAAGGGGGGGAGGGGGGGGGGGCAGAAGAACTTTCTTTCAAGTCAGTGTTTATAACCAATGATCAAATAGAACTAATGTGAACTATGGTAGTTACGTTTAAAAAAATTGAACCTATCATAGTGGTATGCAAAAGGAAAAGGGGGGGAGGGGAGGGGGGGGCAGAAGAACTTTCTTTCAAGTCAGTGTTTATAACCAATGATCAAATAGAACTAATGTGAACTTACCATCAATGCAAAGAAAATTGAACTTATCATAGTGGTATGTAGAGGGGCAGAAGAAATGTGTATTTTCACTGCCCTCCAAACCATTCAGACCCATCCTAATTAATGGACATCTTGGTAGAGTTTCCCTCGTCAGGCTCAGTGATGCAAGCTTGTGGGATGGCTGTCGGAACTCAGTGGAAATAAACTTGCCACAAGTTTGCATCATTGATTTGCTGATTCCTTCTTGGACTGGAATTAGGTGCACCATTATCTTAGCACTGACCTAGATGGGTTATTGCAATTTAAAAAAATTCTAATTGATCCTTGCTGAAATTCAGTTTTGAAGGTAATAATTTCATCATTATTCTCCAGCATTAATAAAGATATGTTGATTTTTTTACATTTTATTTCTTGCTGTGTTTTAAAGGTTATATGTTAACAAGTTAGATCTCATCAAATACAATTTTTGAAAAGCAAAAAAAAAAATTAACACATCTTAACTGATAAAGAATGCTAACATTATAGAATTATGTCTTTGTGCTGGTACTTTTAAAGATCTGCTTTTCATTCTCAGTCCCTAATGGTTATTGAACATCTCATTCCCTATGGACATTATAGATTTTGAGATTTAAGCATTATAAACGTCAGTTAAGAAATCGTTTACAAATGATTTATTGAACTAAGCCTTTTTTTCTACAAAAAAACCTACTGAATTTCCCAAAAGTTTTACGGTGACGCTTTTAGTAAGAGTGATGTAAACTCCTGGGCATTGGCTGAGTCCAGGCTGTACAGTTGGCTCTAGTTCACTGAGAGCCTTCATAAGTCCCTCGGTGTATTCATTGATGCAGTGTCCTTCAATGGCAGATGGTGTCTGGTGGAAAGTGAGGTTGGCTGTAAGTGGTATCATTAGTCTTGGTACAGTCTTAATTGGGATGAGGGAGATGTGCCCAGATGTCCTGTAGACACACCTAGATGATAAAAACAAGAATATTAGTATTAGTTCTAAATTAAGAACTTTATGTAAAAGTATTAGCAGCAGTATTATCATTGCTGTGTAGAAATGAATTAACTATATCTGATATATATTTTATTTCAAAATTATATATAAAAATATAATAAATATAACTGTCTTTCCATAATTGTTTAGTAATGTTTCATAATATTTTGAGTATCCTTTCTTTATTTTCTATTGATACCAAATCAAGTTGATAAGGTGATTTGTTTTGAAGGTATTGTTAAATGATTAATTGCAGTCACTGTTAAATCCTTTCAGGCTCTAAAACTTAAGCCAGCCAAAGTAATTATATCTAAACATATGCTGAAAATGTATACATACAATAACATCATAGCAGTGTCATTTATTTGGATTATTAAAAAGAATCTTTTAGCTTATCTTATCAAACAAGACATGTTAACAGTTACTTGCATCTTTCAAGTTTAACCATTTGTGTGTGACTTATGCTAGACATGCGTTTTAAAAAACTTACTGAAACATGTTCAGATCCATGACAAAGCCGTCATGGCATGACCAGCCAGTCATGGTGAGCTTAAACTCATCCTGTGTGTAGTTGACTATCTCACAGCCCAAGTCCACAACCTCCTGCTGGACTCTCTCAAACTTTCTAGGAAGTTCTTCGTAGGTGTATTCTTTGAACTCACTGGCACAGAATTCAACAGATGGCTTGATTGATGTCACATACCCAAATGAAAATTTGACGTATGTCCTGGCCTTCAGGAAAGATATCAACAACACCTCTTAAACAACTGTAAATTTATACATTTGTAGTGGCAATCAACAGTTTTGTTGCTGTTTTTTTTTTAAAATGTCACGTCTTGTATAATTCTCCATGAGTAGTTAAATGCTCACTGGCATTCAACATTAGTCAGTATGGTAGGATTCCTATTTTTATTACTACTTTAATTTTAATTACTATTTTTATTTTAATTACTATTTTTATTACTAATTTCATTTTTATTACTATTTTAATTTAAATAAACTAGTTTCATTTTTATTATTAATTTTATTTTAATTACTATTTTCATTTTTATTTCTATTTTTATTTTTATTACTATTTTCATTTTTATTGATATGATAAAGGGTTACCTAAAGCAAAAATCCAAACAATCCAATATTTTTTAAGCAAATTTCTGTTTTTCAAATCTTTCTGCAGTAATTTCAAAATATTTTATAGGTGACAATAATGTACCTTCATAATAGGCAGTGGCATACTAAGAAAAAATCAAAACTTGGATGGTTTTAAAGTAAATTATCTTTAATTGTCTAAATTTACCTTTGATCCTTTGAACCTAATGTTTCCCGCAGTTAGCTCTAAAGATGCATCAGGAACGTTGACACACACCTGCTTGCCCATCTTGCTGCCAAACTCTCGCAGCAGTTCATTGACCTTTGTGTTGATGCTGACATGAACAGCATCAATGCATGAGACATTTGAGAATCCACCCGTCATGCTGTCTGTCATCTCTACAGAGTATATGGGCGAAGTAACTGGGAAAGTAGAGTTAACTTACAAATAATTGTTGACTGAACATGTCAATGTGATTAGCAGTTGTATGAACGTGTATATGTGCTTAGTGGTTGTATGAACATGTCAGTGTTTTAGTGGAAACTATGAGTTGATTAGTGGAGACAGTGAGTTGATTAGTGGAGACAGTGGGTTGATTAGTGGAGACATTGAGTTGATTAGTACAGACAGTGAGTTGATTAGTACAGACAGTAAGTTTATTAGTACAGACAGTGAGTTGATTAGTTAAGACATTGAGTTGATTAGTACAGACAGTGAGTTGATTAGTACAGACAGTAAGTTTATTAGTACAGACAGTGAGTTGATTAGTACAGACAGTGAGTTTATTACATAGTGGAACAAGAAGAACTCATATTTTTCTCAAGTAATTTCATGCCGAGGTTTTCCTCTTTAATGTCATGCTTAAGTTTTCCCCTATACTGTCATGCTTAGGTTTTCCCTTGTAATGTAATGCTTAAGTTTTCCCTGTAGTGTCATGCTTAGGTTTTCCTCTGCAATTTTATATTTCCTATATGTGAAAGTGGGGGTGAAGGCAGGTTATTCAAGAATGAGATATAGCCATTCCCGTGGGTGCCGAATTCAGTAGCCGAGTTGAGAAGGCTGAGAGTCCAATTAGCTGCAGTGGTTGCAGATAATTTTTTGATGTGTTCAAGTTAGACTCGAAATAACAGAGGTAAGGTTGTTTTATACTTCTATAATATCTGTGGTAGCTCTGTCAACAGTTAACATAACTATGTTGTATTGGTCAAAGGAAATAACACAGGTAAGTTTGTTATGTAATATATATGGTAGCTCTGGCAACAGTTAACATAACTATGTGACATTAGTTGATCTTTCTTGTTTTATTTGTGGTGTCAACTGTATAGATAAGGACTACTAAAAAAAAATTCAAGTAACTATTCTGACAAGTGAATTATTTGTTTTCACGTTCTAATTATCTTTGTTCAATTTTATATTTTAATCTGAAAACAAATTTTTTTTTACCTTAAAAATTATATAGATTTCATTCTAAAACATTTTCACCACAATATTCTTCAAATTTTTATGTGAATATATTTACTTACAGTTTAAGAGAGTGGATAAAGGATGATGCACTATAGTGACTTCTTCTTTCTCCAATGTGTGGGTTGTAGAGCATTCAGACACATTCTTGCTTTCGTTGACATCCATCATTTCTAACTGTTGAGAGCTTGGTCCATCAGTCTTATTTCCAGGGCTTTGTTTTAGCCCTACATTGGTGCATGAGATTTTGGTGAAATTTTTACTTGCATTGTTGTCCAGTTGCTCGTGTCCAGGCATTGACTGTGCACTTTTACCGGTCATATCTTCCCTCCACAATTTATCAGTGACGCTTGTCGTACCAAAAAACTCTGCATCAGGCCCTTCAAGTTTGGGAAATTTCAATATATTTCCTTGCTCGGTTTCTGAATTATTGATCTCAATGGATTTAGATGATGGTCTGCGAGCAGTGCTGAGGACAGTTGTTGCCTTGGTTGATGTAGTGTGGTCTGTAGTTATAGGTGTAGGCGTGGCTGTAAACTTTGTGGTGATGGTGGTGGTGCTCTCCTGAATGTCTGGATCAAACTGTGAGGTTTGAGTGCTCGATACATCTGAATCTGCTGTTGTGACACTAGAAAGTCCTCCCCCTGCTACAGTTACAAGCAAATCAGCTGGAATTTTTGTGCTTGTTTCAAGAACAGTTAAGGATCCATCAGCTAGGCAATCTGGAGAAGGAGGTTCTACTAATCACTCTCGCTAGTTCAAGCAGTATAAAAATTTTAATTCTCATGTCAGAAAGGGGATAATTATATGAATACAGATTTTATCAATTTTTAAACTATGTGCATCTGATTCAAACTTAGTATTTTCTTAATTATTGTCTCATCCATGGTTCAGTCATTTGCAATGTGCATAATGCCCATAGACATCATATAAAATGTGTTTTTTGTATCCAAATTGTGTGTATAAATTATCACATCATAGAAATCATATTAAAAAAAATAATGAATAGGAATTAAAATAATGTTCCATAAATGTCAGTATGATACTTTCTATGGTTTGCACATGAATATATAAATAATGGAGAAGTTTAAACTGATATTATATTATGTTTTTAAAATTAAAGAAAATGTTTACCTTCCATGCAAACAGGTGCAGACTTGTCCCCACCAAACTCTTCCAGCAGTCTAAGGCCTGGTCTACACTCAAATATAGGGCTACCAACTGTGGACAACTCTGAATCAGGTTTAACACTTAAGGGGGGACAACTGATTGGCTCATCAGCAAATTCTCTATCAAAGTCTTCAAGTGTGAGGCTGCTGTTGATAGCCTCCCATATGAGGTGCCCATGGTGGTAAGTGGCAGAAACATTTTCAGATGAAATGATCACATTGACTTTTATGATTAGCTGAAACGTTTAAAAAACATTTAAAATGTTACAGTTAAACAAATATTAGTGATCATTTTTAAAAAAAAAATTATTTATGAATTGCTTGGTTGTTGGATGTTTGAAATCACATTTGTAAAAACATTGACTTGCTAAATTATGGTGGAATACTTTGACTGCGATTCCATTTAAACATCTATAAAATCTGAAAATTAATTACATTTATTCTATTGGTTGAGTGGTGATCACAGACTGATGAACAAAAAATATGGAACATGGTGTATTTATGTAAAGGAATTTCCATATAAAATTTGAATCCAGTTATTAATAACATAATAGGACCCAACATAAGCCTGTAACAAATAATATTTAATTTGAACTTACTTGCTATTGGATGTTGAAAAAGTCTATTTTGAATTTAAAATTCAGTAAACTTATAATTTTGATACTTACATCAAAGAAATTCCCAGAATCACTGTGCAACGTCACTTGAACATTTTGATTAAAGGCATCCACTATCAAATCCCTCAATCTGTATTGAATGACAACCCTCATCTTCTCTGAATAAGACAGCAAACAGTCTGATACCAAACTGGAGTTGTTCAATGTTTCCAACTCCACTAAAACAGTCAGCTTCATAGTTGGCTGCAGTGTTGATGTCTTGGAAACATTGATTGGTAAACAAACCAAGAAGTCATGTCCTGTAAAGGGCGAAAACAAGTCCAGTTGATAAAGAATGGATCATTTAAAGAGGATTTATCATACATAAAATACAAATGACTGGACTGATCAAATAGATCATTTATAGGATTTATCATACATCAAAAAACAAATTACTGTTTAATCAAATAGATCATTTAAAGAAGATTTATTATACATCAAATACTAATTACTGGACTAATTAATTAAATTTTATATGAATTCTACTACATTTCAACCAGCCACTCTGACCTGAGAGGTTATAGCCAGGTGCATCACATTGGAAATGAACAGTTGATCCAAGAGGAAACTCATGGCTGTATGGTAAAATGGTAGCATTGGTTAATATCCCAGGATTTGCACACGACTGGACTGAAATGATGTATTAAAAGGTTGTCCAATTTAATGCATTGTGGAAAACAAATGAAGATAAAGTCCATCTTTTGTAACTAATTTAAACTTTAAAGGGAGGCAATAAAGGATAACTCCAAGGAATGTAAAACGTCCTTTATAATTTATAGTGCACTTAGTTTGAACAAAATATACATTAAGATTTTGCACCTTTACTTTAGATTTTGAAGTGACCAGACTTATTCATTGTTAAAAATTTTCTTGATCTTTAAAAATAGATTTTAATTTTTTTTTTATAACACTGGGGTGCCACCCACTTTTAATTTTTTTTGTGAGAAATACACAATTATGAGAATACAAACGACCAGAGTTTGTTTTTGAAATTTTAATTTCTATTTTATGCATTAAAAAAATACTAAAATGAAATACCTGCACAGGTAGGACTGGGGGCACTCCACTGGCCATCTGCTCGGCATCTTAATACAGACTGACCAACAAGACTGTAGCCACACTGACATCTGAACAAGGCAAACGAGTTGTAAGTGTTGGTGCTGACATCAACAGTACCATTGAGAGGTGCTTCAAGTTGAGGGCATGCAACAACTGAATCCAGCGACAAGGAAATCTTTGAGTACATTGAAGCATTTCAAACTGATATTTAATTTAACTACATGATCTTAGTCTGATAGGAACCTGACGCAGTGACTTCTAAAATGTAATGGCTTAATATTAAATTATAGAACAAATAATGGGGACAAATGCATAAAATAATTTTCACACACAAATGCAACTTGGCTCTGTTCCACTCCATTGAAACCTCTTTGATGGAGGGCTTTCATTTGTGTATTCCATACAGAATCTGACATTCATGTGTTGCATTACAAAACCATCATTACATGAATAGATGGCTTTACTCCCTAAAGTCAAGTTCTTGTAAACAACTGTCCCATTGCTGATGTCACTAAGTTTTTCACATACAGAAACTGTAAAAAAAATTATAAGAAGAGATTACAAAAATAAATTTTAATACTTTATTTTCATTAAAAGCGATGATGAGAGAAAACGGAGAGAGGCAGAAGCTGAAGAGGAAGATTATTGAAAGATTGACAGAAACTTTACTTTAAATGATAATTATGTAGATGATAAAGAATAATCTACAACATAATCATATGTTGGATTGATTTTATAAAGAAATATAAATTATGCTTTTACTAAAATTTATAATAAAATTGCGATAAAGACTTTTGAGTCGAGGCAAAATAAAATAATGGAATAAATAAACAGAAAAAAATATAGGCATTGAACTGTTACTGCAGTTTTCACAAAACAGATATCAGTTATTAAGACTCACGATCACAAGTAGGTAGAGGTGCAGACCAGCCGGTCCCAGACAAACAGGTGATTGTTGTAGTGCTTGGCCAATATCCAGCCGGACATTTAACATAAGCCTCTGTACCATTCAGAAAATTTCCATTATATAGCTTTCTTTGGTTGTAGAACACTGCCACTTGATTGGTTAATTTCAGCGGGACACATGATACTGAAAAAATAGGACAAGTCATTCACTGCATGTTTTAGATTTACAGGACACGTCATTCATGTTTTAGATTTCATTTATTTTTTTGGTTAAAATCCAGCTACAAAACTTGTCTCTATATGAATTGGCTCTCATAATATAACATAATCTTAATCAACCATGTTAAAATGTTATAAAATATCTACATTTTTGTGCAGAAAAAAGTAACTTTTTCCTGTTACTGAGGATTTAAATGGGGGTCTGAAAACTGTTTTTGTAATGGGCCGTACATGAAATATTTCAAGGTGCTGAGGGAAAAAGCAAAACCTCAGTAAGTTTTGATTTGTCAGGTTCCTGTGACCAGATTTCCACCAAATTGTTTTCTCGCAAGCAGCTTCTGTTTCAGATACTTGCTACTCACCCCCAATCTGGTAGCACAAGACACTAACGAATACATTTTCATAAATATCTCACCAAAGCAGCTCTTGTAAGGAACCAACATTTGATGTCCCACCCGGTCCCTGGGCCCTGTGTACAGCATAAAATCACTTGGACAGGAGCAGTAGTGGCCTCCTTCTGTGTTGGTGCATAAATCACTGCATTCACCATTGTTGTCTTCACATTCATCAATATCTGTTAGGTCACAGGAGAAAAATATGTTTTTTTTAAGATATTCAGTTCCTTTTTTTTTTATTTCCACAAAAACAAAATATTAACATTTATAAGTTTCCAAATACAGAAATGACATTTCTATTTATGTATTTTAAAAATATTTTCTTGTTTTGTTTTTTATTTATGTGAGTGTAATTGCAGGGACAAAAAGTTATTTTAAAAAAAAAAATCGCTTTTTAAAAAAAATACTTTATGAATTAGGCTACCATTTATAAAAATATTTCAATTAGCTTTACTCAAAACCTATCTTTCCTCAATTAATGTACAATTTTTCCTTATCTTTATGATGAATTACAGGCTTATGAGATTACAATTATTTGCAGACAGAAGTACGTGTGAGAATCACTGTTATCAACGTGAATTGTTGTTACCTTGAGTTTGGAGTGCTAGGGGTGTTATTGTGTCTGACTGTGATTGGCTGACAGGAAAAGGATGATAAACAAGGGTGTTGTATATAAGGGGTGTGAGATGGAGAGGAGAATGAGTTGACATCAGTTAATTTAGAGTTGAGATTTGGGTTCACAGGAGTTCACATGGAGTCCAAGGATGATGTATAGTAGCCAGAAGTGTGTGTTGACTCTTTGAAGTTAAAAAGTAGCTGTGATGTTCTAGTGCCTCAGTGTTGTTGAACACTGGTTTTAGTAAAGAAGTGCTGGAGTATTCAATAAAGTGTTTCTGTATTTTTTATGCACAGGTATCGGCGAGACTCTTGAGAGAAAAATATTGTGATGGGAGTTATTGAAGTCCTAGACAAGGATGCCATTAATAGTTGAAGGGGGTCGGTCAATCAGACCCTGGAAGAAATATTTTGGCAGTGTCTGTCATATAGACAGGTATTTTGACAATGTGGATGTTACAACTTATAGTTCTGAAGTTGGAAAACTGCTAAATCACTACTTTACAAAACTTTAATGCACCACCCCATAGCTCTGAACTGTTAAATGTAGAACTAATTTATTATCATAAGTGATGAGTCAGATACATCAGTTCCTAATAAAAAATAATGATTCTCTAGGTAAGTATGAATGGTAAAGAAGAAGAATCTTTTTTCTACTTGAAGAGAAATTTTAATTTTGTCTTGATTAGAAGCAAGCGCCATTTTGGATTCTTATAAAGTGGGACACTTCAATTTATGTTTTTCCAAGTGACTTTAGTAGCGGGGAAGTTCAGCATTGCCGCCACAATTGGTGGATCATTTACAGTCTCTAATAATCCCTCACCAATGCATGCATGTCTTGTTCCACTTGGTTGTTTGTAGCCTTTACCACAGATACATGCATAGTCACCAGGTAAATTTTGGCACTGATGGTTACCGCAAATTGATGTGTCATCTGAGCAGTCATCTTTATCTGTAAATGAAAATGTCAAACCATTACTAACAATTGTTCAATAATAAATACTTTGCCTCATGAAAAAAGTTTTAAAAAAATAATCGAGTCAGGGTACGGTAGTTGAACAAATAAACCTAAGACAGGCAGTGTGGTAACTAGAAAACAAATAATCTACACATTCTTGGTATGGTAGTTGTAAAGTAAACCTTAACAGGTAGTGTGGTAACTAGCAAGCAAAGCATGGTGCAGTAGTTGTAATACATAAACCTAAGACAGGTAGTGTTGTAACTACAAATCAAAGCAAAATAGTTATTC